ACCACCTCCGCCCTTCTTCAACACCACCTTTTCCACCCATCGCGCATCGCCGCTGTACGTCGGCGCCAATACCCTGAGCTTTCCTCGATTACAGGCACTGTCGCAGCGCTTGCGCGACACGCTGGTGGGAGACGTCGTCAGAGGTGTACAGGTTGGGCTGGAAGGCAGCGACAGCTCTCTAGGACGCGCCGGCCCGCTGGAAAAAGTTGGAATACGATGGGTTGGCGTTGAAGCTCTACTAGGCGGCGCGGACGATACGGACCCCGGTCTGAGCAGGGATCTTAGCAGCGATGGTGTCGAGACTGATGAAAGGGTCCGCAAGAAGAGATGCCTTGTATTCGAGATGAGATACGAGAACGCGCTGTGCACAGCTGTGCTGCTACCATCGCTTTCTGAAAAGATCACGGAAGAGCCTACTGCCGAACTGCAATCGGCCAATAGCCTCGGTGTGCCTGGGTTGCTAACCAGCAGCGGCATAAAAGATGACAGGCACTTTTTGCATCTACCTCTGCTTCTCCTTCGCATGCCTGCACCTTTGAAATCAGTTATCGTTGACTTTCTGTCAAGCACATTCGACTGCCGGATCAGTTCGTTACGCTTGGGTACGAAAGGCCTGACTACCGCATGGGAACGGTGGATCGAAGATGCTGGTCTCCCCTCACAGGGCCCTCTGGCAAAAGACATGGTCTTGACCCTGGGATTCTACATACCACCCGCAGTGACCTCAGATGGTACTGACGAACAACCCCCAGACGGGCTCGGAATCAAGTCAATCGACATCATCATACCGGCTGAGGAGCTCAAGCGGTTTACAAACGAAGGGATGACGCTCACGAACCCGACGATTATCAACAGGGCAGGGCTCACTCAAGGCTACCAAGAGGATCCTAGAAAGAGAAAAAAGCTCGCGGGCGGCAAGGCGGACGAAGGATGGGGATGGGTTGACCGCCAAAGGGAGCATGACGAAGCGTTCTTGCATGCTTTGGGTGCCTACTTGGAAAAGCATCTCGCCCTGAATCTCTTCCATCCTGGCGTGAGAGTCACCAAGATTGCTTGTGGCGGGTTCGTGCTCTCAGAGGGGCGTGTCAAGGTGTTTGTACCACCTGGCGATGATGAAGAGGTTTTCGAACCGGTCAAAAATTTGATCAGCGATCTCATTGCCAGCGCCAACTCCTGATCCATCGAGGCCTTGTCAAATTCGGTACAACTATGAACAGGGCAGACAATCTTGTTGCTGCATCAGTTCCCCTCCCACATACTTGAGAGCAGTCACACGGACGGAACTTCGACTCAGGACTTTGATTCAGAGCCACGACTATGACTCCCACTCCGTAAGAGCGGATGTAAGATACTCTTTACACCATTCGACCCTCCAGGGGTGGGATCATCAGGACGGGGAATTACGTGCCCCTTCTGGGAAATAAGAACAATCTACATCAATCTAGAATAATTCCCCGGCTCTATGGCGCATACCGGTCATCCGAAAAGCTACATGGCACATCAAGTAGCCCGGAGCAATGGTGGAAGGCCTCTCATAAGCGGCAGCAGTGGTGGCCAAGACCCTGGGGTTTCACTCGGTACGCATCGGACATGGGTGGCCTCTTGCAGCTACCGAGGCTCGCCAAACTCGGATCTCGCAAAGTTCAGATGCTACCTAGGCGCCTCATTTCAGCCGCCCTTAGCAATAGCTAGCAATCTATCTGAAAAGCACGAGGCCACTGCATGGCCAGCTCGCTGCCGCTAAGTGCGTCTTGCGATGTTCAAGCCATGACTAGTTCCCTTGGGTAATGTCACTGTCGAATGCCCGCAAGGAACTAACACATTCAGCCAATATCACCCATGCTTATTCCCCGCATTACCAGGGGGAGTGTCTTTTTTCCAGGACGGCTGGTGTCCGCTTCTTACACGATGAATAATACCTTCCGTGCCATTACGGCTTGTTACCACCGAGCTTGGCTTTCCAGAACGGGCCGAGATCCTGGACTTTGCATGTCCGAGTCCCTCATTTGGCCTTGATTCGTGCCCAAATAAGTAATTCGAGTTATGGTTATTGTATAGTGGTAGTTTAAGCAAATGGGCGGTCCTTCATCTAAGGTTAAGCCAAATGTGTTGGCTTGAGAGCCTCCATCTACCCGAAGCACGACTTCCAGCTCTATAAAGGCGGCTAGCTAAGACAATGGAATACAGCATTCACAGCACCACGGTCCACTCTTTTCCACCTCATCACTCACAATGAAGTTCTCTTCAAGCCTCGTCTGCCTCCTGGCACCCATCACCGTTCTCGCCGCTCCCCTCGAGGAGAGGCAGGCCTCGCAGTCCATCGACAAGCTGATCAAGGCCAAAGGCAAGCAATACTTTGGCACCTGCACCGACCAGAACCGCCTGACTGCCGGCAAGAACGCCGACATCATCAAGGCCAACTTTGGTCAGGTCACGCCGGAGAACTCGATGAAGTGGGACCAGATCGAGCCCAACCGCGGCCAGTTCAACTGGGCCACGTCCGACTACCTCGTCAACTTTGCGCAGCAGAACGGCAAGCTTGTCCGCGGGCATACCCTTGTGTGGCACTCTCAGCTTGCGGGCTGGGTGAATAACGTCCGTGATAAGGCTGGTTTGACGACTGTCATTGAGGACCATATCAAGGCTGTTGTTGGCCGGTACAAGGGCAAGATTTACCACTGGGTGAGTCTATGTCCACCTTCTTCTTCTTCTTCTCTAGGAAACCAACGTTACTGAACCTTGTGTGGTCAGGACGTTGTCAATGAGATCTTCAACGAGGACGGCTCCCTCCGTTCCTCCGTCTTCTCGCAGGTCCTCGGCGAGGACTTTGTCGGCATCGCTTTCCGCGCTGCCAGGGCCGCGGACCCCAATGCCAAGCTATACATCAACGACTACAACCTCGACCAGGCCAGCTACGCCAAGACGCAGGCCATGGCTCGCAAGGTCAAGGAGTGGATCGGCAAGGGCATCCCCATTGACGGTATCGGTACGTGTGAAGCCAGTCCAACACACTCTTCCTTGGTCACCATGCACGAATACTAACGGATCTCACGCCAGGCTCCCAAGCCCATCTCCAAGCTAACCAAGGCGGCAACGCTCTTGGCGCGCTACAGACCCTCGCCGGCAGTGGCGTCAAGGAGGTTGCCATCACGGAGCTGGACATTGTCGGCGCCAGCGCGGCTGACTACACGGCTGTGACAAAGGCCTGTCTGCAGGTTCCGCAGTGCGTTGGTATCACGGTCTGGGGAGTGCGTGACCCGGACAGCTGGAGGGCGCAGAATAACCCGCTCTTGTTTGATGCCAACTTTAACCCCAAGGCGGCTTATAACGCGGTCGTTACTGCTTTGCAGTAGGTCTTCTTTCTCGATGTGAAGTGGGGCTCGGGTGCTTCTCGGTAACCTGTACGGTTTCTGTCTTCATGTACAAATTGGAACTTTTCGCAGCTGCGCCGTATATAGGACTCTGTTATGAACAAATTCAATTTTTGCTTAGGAAGCAACTAGTCATCCGGCTGTGTTGCAACAGGTCAGCTTGGCGAGGAACGTTGGTTAGCCACGCCATCAAATCAAGACTCTATTAACGTGATTCACCTTGAGATTGTTTGCGCTGAATGCATGGTGGCTTGATATTGCACTCACCCCGCGCAGTTTGCTGGGTATTCACAGGTAGTCACCCACACAGAATTGCCAAACGAATCCTCTGAGATTTATCGATAATAGATAGACTCGGGTAAACGATCCCGAGAGCATCCAAAGTGTCTTTGCGCCTATTCTTGTTCAAGTTTCTCCTCCTTTAATCTGGCCTTGATGCTTTCGAATGCTGACGACTGGAACATCGCACACATGATCATTACGTGACGGTATAGATCGAGAGTGGTAGCCATTTGCTCCGCAACATTCTTTCCTATCTGAGCCTCTACTCATGAGCTTCTTGCCATATTTCTCGAAGCAATGGAGCCCCTGAACCCGGCCAAAAGGGCTGGACAAGGACCAACCCTCAACGACCTCATTCTAAATGCCGCTGAGTCTACATCTCAATGAATTATAGTCTATGGAGCAGAAGAGACAGTTGGGGATCTCGTGCCGACAGGCGTGCCATATTCAGACTTGCTCTGTCTGGCTCGTGCAAATGCTCAGGTTCTCCTTCGGCTGTGCCCACCATCCGTTGGCATCGGCGGAGAACACCATGTTGATTTGCTGTGCCTCGACAACATCCTGGACACCATCATCTGGTTTTGGTCGACTGTAATCGCAGTGCTATTGCCAGCAATTTCAACCACTTCGATTCTTGAGCCTGGTCGATCAGAGTACCTCTCATATCTCCCCATCTTGTTGAAGGATCCGCTCTGCATAGTACCTCAGTCGCTTTCAGGCTCATACTGTTTGCAAGACTTTGCCAAGGAATTACCGGTTGCCAAGACAACTTCTCAAAGTCTTGCTAGGATGAGTCAATTGATGCCGCTGCTACCTTTGCCTGACAGTTCTTCTGCTTCCGACCCGGCGGTTCTGACGCTGACATCGGGTACGACTGGAAGAGCCAAGGCGGTACAACTCAGCCATGCTCAAATACTTGCTTCGCTAGAAGGCAGAGCCAAGTCTACAAGACCACACAGCGGCGGTCCCTACCTCAACTAGATCGTCATGGACCACGTAGCGAGCCTAACCGAGAATCATCTCCTCGCGATGTACATGGGTCTCTCCCAAGTGCATCTCCCCGCGGACGAGGTGCTGTCCAACCCTGTGCAGCTACTGAATATAGTCAGCCGCCACCGTGTTTCGCGAACCTTTGCCCCTCATTCTTTCTTGGCGAAGTTATCCAGGGAGCTCATGTCGGAACAAACACCGTAGTGGGATGGAGATCTAGATCTTGGATGTCTGCAATGGCTTGATTCGGGTGGGGAAGCAAACACAGTGGATGTCTGCGAGACACTCCAGACACAACTCGAGAACTACGGTGCTCGCAAAGACATCATCGTCCCGGGTTTCGGAATTACAGAAACTTGCGCTGGGTGTGTAAATAACGCAAATTGCCCGACGTATGATCGAGGACAAAATTACCAACATGTTGACGTTGGCAAAGGCGTCCCTGGGCTACAGCTGCGAGTGAGACTCTTCGATGGCAATTCTCCATCTGCATTCGCAGACGCCGGCGAGGTTGGGCTTCTGGAACTCTCCGGCGACGTAGTATTTGACGGCTACTTCAACGATCGCGACTCTACTGCGGCCGCCTTCACAAGTGATGGCTGGTTTATTACTGGCAATGTTGCTTGTGTCAACCACAACGGTCAACTAATCCTCCAGGGACGCTCCAAAGATACGATTATCATCAACGGGGTGAAGTACGCCCCAGACGAGTGGAACACCATATCGAGAAAGAGTTGACACAAGGGGCAGTTCCGGGCTCTTTCTGTTGCTTCTCAACTTTACCACAGTCATCTGACACAGAACAAATCGTCGTTGCTTACTTACCATCGGTTGAGGACAATGATATCCGAGCCCGGACCAAGACTCGCAATAGGATAGTCGAGATTATCGGCTTACATATGTCTTCATCTGCCATCGTTCTACCCCTAACAGCCGCTGATCTCAAGCCATCGGCACTAGGAAAGCTGCCCAAGAGGTGCGATCAAGTCGGCTTTCGGGAAGGGCACGTACGCCCAGCATCTCCATAAAGCGAGCGAAGCCGACAGAGTAGAACATGACGTAGCAGAGGAGACGATTTCTTCTCTTGAGGCACTCATTCGCCACGAAATACAGGAGTATTTCCAAGTCAAGGGGCCACATCTCAGCACCGAAGGATCGGTATTCTGGCTCGGCGCTACGTCAATGGACCTCATCAAGATAGCGCGTCTAATCTCGGACCGGCTTCAATTACCAGAAAGACTCACGCTCAGCCAAGTCCTGAGAGAACCGACGCCTCGGCGGCCAGCTATGATAATCGAGGGATCTGAGAGGAAAGATGAAGTCGGCAGCCCGGTCGCTACCCTCCGGTCAAAGGGCAGAAAGACGCCGCTGTGGCTCGTACATCCCGGTGTCGGAGAAATCCTGGTCTTCATGAACCTCATGAGGCTCATCAACGACCGGCCAGTCTTTGCCTTCCGTGCGGAGGGTTTCGATAGCGGCGTTTCGCCTTTTGCCTCCTTGGATGAGTTGTTGGATTACTATTTTCAGCACCTTAAAGCCGTCCAAGCAAAGGGGCCGTATGCTATCGCAGGCTATTCGTTCGGCTCAATGATTGCCTTCGAATTATGTAAGAGACTGGAGACAGCAGGTGATGAGGTTCTTGACTGCGGTTGCTGGAACCTTCCGCCGCATATAAAGCACCGCATGAGACAGTTCGGCTGGGTAGAGTGTCTCGCCAACTTATTTCACTTCACGAAGCTCATCGAACAGGATCAGGCTTTACAGCAGATACCCATGTTGCGCACATTCTCAAAGCAAGAAGCAGTCGCCCACCTCCGAGCCCTCAGCGACTCGGATCGTTGGCTTGAGTTAGGCCTCGGCGAAGAGGAATTTGTCAAGTGGGCAGATTTGGCATCTTCGCTCCAGCATCTGGCTTGAGACTACGAGCCACGGGGAACGATAAGCAGCATGGATGTATTTGTCGCAGATCCTCTCAAGGAGGTAGCTATTGACCGCCAGAATTGGGTTCTGAATAAGCTCAGCCGGTGGCGGGAATTTGTGAGCGATGTGCAGTGTTATGATGTTCCGGGTGAACACTATTCTATGTTGGACGAGGTCAACGTGTCGCGGTTTGCGGAGAAGTTGAAAGAGGACTTGGAGGCACGAGAAGGGCCGCTACGTCGAACCCTTCAGTAAGTTTCTCCTGCAGCTCTTCGGTCCGGACTAAGGTAATGCATAATGCGTGAAGCTGGACACTGTCAACTTCGTGAATGGGAAAGCAGCGGATACGCAACTTGGGTATCTGCGAGTAAATTGCAACACCCGTATTGGCTTTTCCGCAGCGCTGCGTCAAGAAGTCATAACCTCCGGTTCCTTCAGAGAGCCGGCCTCGTAGCCGGCGGGTCTGAGATCCTTTATCAATACCGGCCCGGTTCTGAATCATGCCTCGGTCCGTCAACGGGGGATAGATTGTCCCCGCGGACTATGTTTCTCCGCGGGAAACTTTATAAAAGAGCTTCCAAAATTCACACGTCGGAGACAATGTATGTTAAGACCGAAGAAGTATCATAACAATACGCACTAGTTATTTACTGCCAGAGCGGCGGCTGAAGCTTCCTTCAAACTATATCCAAGAATTATTGTACGTGTTGAGAACGACTACAGGCCGAAGAACTTCATGTCATCGTCACCCCGGATGGGCACAGTGTGTCCAACGCCAACAGCCCAAACACCCGTCAGGTGATCACCAAACACATCAGTGCGATAGTTGGCAATAGGGGTGTTCTGAGAGGAAGTGACAGGTTTGTCCGGGTTGTATCCAAAGACGCCAGACCACTGCTTGATGGTCTCCTGGTAGTTGGCGTAGTTGAGCGTGGTGTCGGTGCTGCCGTGGTAAATCTGCATGCGGGGGCGGGACCCCGTGTAGCCGGGGTAGGCGTCGTAGACCCATTGGGCCCAGCGTGCCGGCGTGGCAATCGATTGGCCCGAAGAGCAGGTGCTGTTCCAGCCGTTGACCGTACCGGTGTAAAAGCAACCGGCTGGGACGCCGTTGTAGACGATGCCAGCGGCGAAGACGTCGGGGTACGTCGCGGCCAGGACGTTCTGTTGCGCGATTAGTCACTCGAGCATTGTCTTGTTGAGTTATGGACGTTGACTTACAGTCATCATGGCGCCGGATGAAGAGCCGGTGACAAAGACCTTCGACTTGTTGCCGTTGTACTTGCTGAGAGTGTATGAGACCATGTTGGCGATGGAGTTGCTGTTAGCTCCTCCGTTGTGGGTGAGAGTTGCCTTTGAGGAGACATCCCAACAGGTTCCCGAGTATGGTGACTCGGGGTAAATGACGATGAAGCCCTTCTGATCTGCGAGTGTCTTGTAGGGGCTGTTGTTGTAGTAGGCTTGAGCGGTACCTGTGCAGTAGTGGATGGCCACAACCACGGGAGGGTTCGCCGCCAGCTTGTCGGGAACATAGATGTACATCTTGACGCCGCTGGGATTTGAGCCAAAGTTCGTGACCTGCTGCAGCGAAGCGGCGCTGGCAGAGGCGACTAGCCCAAGAGCGGAGAGAATTGTGCTGAACTTCATAGCTGCGATGGACTTGCTACAACCAAGTGCGATGCTGATTCAGTGTCTCGAGGACGATCTTGGGCTCGTTCTTGAGCAACTACTTATAGTCCTAGGTAACGGAGTCGAACGAACGAAGCTGTTGACAGAGCTCCCTGTGATGCATCTGGCAACTTTTGTAGACTTCCCTTCAGCCGCTCGTGCATAGAACCAAAGGGGCCGCATGCACTATGTGTAAAACCCGGTGATCTCGTTACCCCACACGTAGGGTAGTGTTGAAAAGGGGGCCATCATCGTCAATTTAGCCGGTTGGCTGGGGGCCGTGCTAGATCCATGTCTCATCCGAAAGCGAAAGGAAACTGGTTCATCTGGAGTTGTCTAAAAAGCTTTTATTCGGCACTTGCCATGGCTTCCGAAAGGGAAACCCGGCTCTTTTGGAAAAGTATGGGTGCCGGTATCCGTTGTCCAAAGTGGCTCTTGCATTGGCCTTCCCGAAGGGGGTGCCTTGCAGCGCGGAGGCTGATGAGCCTTTGGAGGAGGTGTCATGCCGCATTGCTGATCTGTGCGGGTAATTCGACAGGGTGTTTCTACCGGTCATGCCGGGCACGGGTGATGCTCCCGCGACTTAGCATCTGCAGGTTCCTGTTCTGTTGCCGAACAAGCTAGGATCCCACGTCGAAGCAGTTGGCGATGAAGAGTGTTGGTGGAGTTTGGACGAAGCTTGAAAGAAGGGGCTCGGCTTGACAGGCCGCTTCATCCCCACAGCGCAAGATAACCTCACCGCAATCTGGGTGAAGAAGCAGTATTATTATCCCGTTAATTCCGGCGAATGGTTGGTTCGGACAATCAGGGTTGCCGCGTTGCCGATCGAGGCTTTGGTTGCTTCCCTTTCTTCCGACAACTCGCACCCGACTTGAATGGTTTTTCTTTCTAGAAACTATTTTGTACAGCGAATAGCTTTTGTTACCTGGTATCTTCATCATAGTACACCGTCGCTATAACCTCGTCAGCCGACACGATCCTCTCATTCCATGCGCGATCACTGAACATCCGGCATCCAGTACGCTGGCGATCCTTCGAAGTTGGGAAACGTAGCAAAGGCCTGAAGACAATCAGCTCAACATCCTAGTTGAAAACTCTGGAGGAAATCGTGTACCGAAGAGTCTAAGTCCAGCCAATCCGTTGTCTCCCAACCACTGAGGAGGTTCGTCATCCCTTCGAACCCATGCTGCTGGAACACTTCACCCATATCGGCCGGCGGTGCTGGAGCGCCCGAAACCTCTTCCAAATGCATCGGCTCCGCACCTCCATGCTCAGCACGCTCAATGGTCGGCTTCCTCTCACGGCCTGAAGGGCCTTCGGAATGAGAACTAGCCTCTTGCCGAAGCTCTTCGAGAATGACAGAGTATCTGCGGCTTGGGCTCTCGGCAGTCGTTGCTTTCGCCAGGTGATTCTGGCAGCGATCTGCCAGCTCAAAGAGGCCCCTTTCCGGGTCCTGTCTCCCTCTTTGAATTTCATAGACGTACACCACCGCGAGTGCACAAAAGGTGACGTACGGCGTCCACCAGAAAGCGTGGAATAACTTCCCGTCACTAGCCATGCCGTCGACCGTCTCAAGTGCGGCCTTGGCTGCAGTGATGCATTCATCAATACTATCTTCTAGAGGCGATTGCTGACCACCTCTCGAGCCACCCGTTCCAAGAAGAAAGGGTCGGTTGGCGTGCATAATGGCGTGGCAATATGCCAGCTTGAGGGCTGTGTTCTGTCTCCTGAATGACGGAATTAAGGACATGGGTCGAACGGTACCCAAATGGTGTGGCAAGGACTCGCGCCACCGGTGTAGAGCCTTGCCGTATCGATGTGCAATCATGAGACGGTCATCTTTATGAACGGGTTTAATCGAGTACACCTCGCGAGAAATACCGTCAATGATTTGAGCGAGTTTGGCGTGGAAGATGAGACTCTCAACATGGCAATCCATCTCTGGCTCGTCACTTGATCTTCCTTGGGGTGTCATGTCCTCATCGTTGACGCAGTCAGGGAAGTCCTGATCGATATCGTCGTCGCGGTACATCCTCGGCCGACCAAATACAACAGAGAGATACTTGTCGATGGTGTATGCCACCCAGAAAGTCCTCTTCCGGCACTGCGACAGTATGTAGTCCTTGTCGCTGCTGGCCCTGTTGCGTCCGGACTTCCGATGTAGACCCAAAGCCGAGATGATGGGGAGAATGCTCCCAAAGACATACCATGCTTGATTCATGCGAGATGTTTGGAGGAGATACAACACCTGCAAGAGGCGTGCCTGCGAGGACTCCAGCTTCGGCAACCCGATCTCCGCATCCGTTAAACTCAAAGCCTGAGAAAAGAGAGCGTCGCTGCGCAGAAGGTGAGAAAACCTTTCTTCGTCGACATTTCGGACCTTGCTTTGTCGGAGGGTGACGATAGCGAGAATGGTCAAAACGATAGAGGCTTTGGCGTGGCCAATTTCGTGGTGCAGCGGACGGCTGTCTTTCGCATTTGCGAGCAGAATCTCGAACCACTGGGCGACGTAACCTTGATGAAGGCATCGATAGGTTACTACGCAAACATCAAAGTAGAAATCCAGCATGTCCAAGCCGGCCAACCGGTCAGGAAGAGTCGATACGTCCAACGGCTGCGAATCGAAAGGCTTGTCTCCTGCCCTCGTCAGCCTCTGATGCTGTTCGGCGCCGCTCGGTGCGTTTCCAGGAACGTCAGTAGTATTAGATCTCTGCGACGAAAGGCGCTTCCATGCTCGGTGCAGGAATGTTAGACTCGAAGTGGTGTCAACATACTGCCCTTCGATCTCGGCAATCTCGACTTCTGGCGAGGCGCGTGAGCCTGGCAGAGCGCTGCGCCGGCTGCGCTCTGCAGCCTCTGCCTCGTCGCCTACATGATCACGGCTTCTCGACCGAGCCGCACTCTGGCGGGGAAGACGTGGTTCACGCGGTGCTAGGGATGGGAGAGGCGCCGCCGAGGGAAGCGGTCTTCTGTGAATGGTTAACTACCACTTTAACCATTATCGAACACTACTTGTTCTTACAAAGACATACCTGTGTACCTCTAGGGAAGTTGAGGGGACCAGTCGGGATTCAAATAACCCGGGGGCAGAACTGGATGCTGGCGGAGGTGTCGGCGGTCTACCTCGGCGGTAAGTAGCGTCGTAGATGCAGGAGAGACGTTTCCGGGTGCAGACGTCGCATGGGATCGTTCCGGAGCATTTCAGCTTCTTGGATTTGCAAAAGTCGCATGCGCGACTGACTTTGTGACTTCTTCGCCGATTAGCGGCGGCAGTGGCGGCGGCGGCAGCAGCAGCCGATGACGAACGGCCCTCTTCGGGGCCCTCGGGGGAACCCTCGGGCAAGCTGCGTTTCCTCCGATCGGTAATAGTCGGCGGCAGAGTTGACGGGGACGGCTGTGATATATTTGACGAAGGTGTCGGGGCGGATGTCGTTACAGGGGCATCATCGCGGATACCAGTGTCGGTGCTCGCCGTTGTTTCCGCTGGTGTGTCGGCCATCCTACCACCATCCATGAATATCCGACCCTCCGATGCGTTTGCTGATGGTCTCCACTGACTCAAGTCCGATTCTCCGGACTACCACGTCGGTTCCAGCACCCACAACGGCTCCTACACCGGGTTCAGCGCTCCGAGTGTGTGCGCTTCGTCTTACTACGGCATATGGCGAATCCGTAGGTGGATCATAACGGAGGATATCTCGTACCGGAACAAATCGAAAAAGATACCTGACGCCTCTCGCGTGGTGTGGCACGCAGATCTGGCTGGGAGTTTGTGCACAGAAAGCAGTCCGGAAAAGCGAAAGTCAGGGGCCAGCTGATTATTAAGGGGAGCAAGCAAACCGGCCACAACGCACAGCAGACAAACGGCCCCCTTGCCGGCGCTCAAAGCTCGGCTGAAATGCGGGGCAAGGATGAGCAAATCGGTTGGATCGAAACCTTCTTACCCTCCACAAGTCCGGGCTCACTGTTCCCAGAGTCTGTTTCCAAGATGCCCCCTCGCTTCACATGCTGTTGATAAAGCATAATACCTCTCGACAAGGCGCTTGTCCAATGGGGATTGTTGCCGAGCAATCACTACATGTGTTGGCCACGTGTTGCTGTGCTTACAATCAGATTGTGTAAGTTTGTAACTTCGTCCAGTATACTCGATCTGGCCTACGAATCAAACTGCTTATGACGAGCCGGCAGATAGGACAGCCTGGGTTTTCCCTCTGCCCACAAAAAACTCGCAAGAGACGTATGGATAAATAATTATGCAATGATATCATTTATGAGCTGAATACAACAGTACTTGCACAAAGAGTCGGATTTGTGGCCCAAATTGGCCTTAGTGACCCCTCCCAATGGAATGACAAATTCGCAGTATGCCAACTCCCGAGCTTTGATCCCTGCTGCAAATCATCATTGACTCCAGCGCTGCAGAAACGATGCAGCTGAAATCTTCAGAAACCATGGCGCGGGGATAAGTCAAGCACTGGAGCAACCATCATCCGAGTAGACAGCAGCCTGCAGCCCACGGCCTCCCACTATCATCTCTTCGAGGTAACTCGGCACCGATGTGGATGAGATCTAGGAGACTGTCTATCGGACGATCGGACGGTCAGTCCATCCACCCCCACCAGAATCCTCCCTAAATCCGGTCGTCTGCCCCGCCATCCCCCGCTCTACTCCGGACAACCCGAGTCGGTCCCTGTCCGCTGCTCCTATGAGGCGGACGGCGGCTTCCAGAGTTGCACCGGCTCTCCAGAACTTCGACCCACCGACCGCGGCACCGTTCGTTTCGTCGCAGCTTGCTACACTCGTGAACTCTGCTCCTGGACCCCTGACGTCAACATGGTGGCACTCGAGACTCTAGACTAGCCGATCCCCTAGCGGACGTGTTACTTTATATGATGCGGGCCAACCCCTCAATTGTATTGCCTCGGGGCAGACAGAATCAACGATCTCAAGCATCTATCTCTATCTTAGTCGTATCGAAACAATCAATCAACATGTCTATCGAAGTTTACCATCTTGGGCTTTCTCAATCAGAGAGAATTGTGTGGCTTTTGGAGGTTGGTAACTCGCAAACAATCATCTAGGTCTGTAATTACTGAGACTCTACTAGGAACTCCAAGTACCATACGATTTGCATGTCTTTCAGAGAGATCCCATCACAGGACTCGCGCCCAAAGAAATCAAGGAGATCGTGAGTCTTTTTCAGCAGATTTTGTGAATAGTGGATAGACAGCTGAACGAGTCAGAACCCCGCCGGAACCGCACCGTATTTCCGCGACAGCACTGTTTCACCGCCAATCGAGCTTGGAGAGTCAGGCGCAACTGTAGAGTACATTCTCAACGTCCACGGCAGCAAGGCTGGCTCCGGAGCCCCGAGACTTCTTCGTACCCCCGATGACGCCGATTACGCCGCCTACCTCGAATGGTTTCACTTCGCCAACGGTACTCTTCAGCCCACTCTCGGCCGCGCTATGACCCTATTGTTTGCCGGCGCTTCGCAAAGTGACTTTGGCAAGCGGATGGAAGAAAAGTCCCACCAGGCCCTCAAACTGATTGACAAGCGCTTGGCCAACAACAAGTGGCTTGCCGGTGAGAACCTGAGCGCTGCGGATATCATGACGGTCTTTACTCTGACCACCATGCGCGGTTTCTATCCTCTCCTGGACTTGTCAGAGCATAAGAACATTTTGCGGTATTTGAAGGATGTTGCCGAGCGCCCCGCGTATCGCAAGGCACTGGAGAAGGGCGACAAGGGCATGGAACCTATGAACGGGCCCAAGGTTAAGGCTTTCAAGCAATTCAAGGGATTCGGTGCCATCTACGAGTCCTTGGGATACTAGAAAATTCAAGCCGCCTCCGACAGATACTCTACTCACGATTCATGAACGATCAATATGATAAGGCGATATAACTCAATGGAACTCATCATCGAGAGGAAATGACTTGCAGTATCGAATTATGTGACAAAAAAGAATAATTTCCTGCCGCAAGCTAGGTAACCCTTCAAGGATGGCAAAAGGATACTCAATTGACCAGCCTGGGGGTCGAACCCAGAATCTCCTGATAACATGATGAATCGTAGTCAGACGCCTTGCCATTGGGCCAACCGGCCGTGATAATCGAGTTGTTGATCCACTGCGGTGGATGCTGCTGGTTCGCGGTCTCAGGCAATTTGAGAAGTCGAGGTTGAGGGCGACGTGGTGGGTGACGAGTTGGCTTCACGGTAGACTCCGAATTTGGAGACTTCCGGTCTCGTATAGGGTGGTTCATGTCAGATAATCGAAAATGGGACACAGGAACTTGGGAAATCAGGCGCTCTTCAGTAGTTCTCTACCCCAGCTTGGCTAGTGGTTCCGAGGAACACAGGAGAGTCTCTTGTCCGACGATGATACACAAATGCATGGATATGGCAATTTGAAGCCGCGTGTACGGGAAACTTTACAGTGTTGAGCGAACTACTTTATGAGAGTATCCGGAAGAGCTGAAGTTTCTTTCAGAGAGCATATTTGAACAAAGGGCTCTTCTCCCCCATGCGGCCAAGCTCTTCTTCGGTATACCTCTCCCTCACTTCGTCTTCAGTCTGTAGCGCCTTCTTCTCATTAAGCCTCTTCAGAAGGATTTCGAGAGCAATGACAGCAATGATACCGGCCGATGCGAATCCAAAAGATGTTCCAAAGCCAGTAGGGTATGTCGGCGCTTCCTTGTCGAGGTAGATATAGCTGCCGATCAAGCCACCAATATTTCCGACACAGACCAAGAAGCCGATGCTGATTGCTCGTTTCTCTGGGCTCGGCGTATTTGCTACGTTCCAGGCATTGACTCCTGGAAGGATTGGATACATTCTGGCGATCCTGGATTAGTTCCCCAATGTCTTCTATATGAGACCGACAGGTGTATTGAGATGAAAAGACTTACCCGAAACAGGCCAGGCACACGGCGAAATAACACAATGCAATGTTGTCTTTGATATCGGCGCTTTTTGCGAACAAGATGCTAAATGCAACCACGAGGCAAAGCTGAGGGCCAATGATGAAGGGCATTCGCCACGAATACCTATCAGCAAAGACTGAAAATATGTAGGCCGAGATAGCGCCCACCGCATAGGGGGGCATCGTCAAAAGCTGCGCGTTGGCCGAGGTATAGCCCATATTTTTAATAATCTGCGGCATCGTGAACTTCATGGCGTAATTCGGGACCGCATTCGACCAGTTCGCAAAGATCAAGAGATAAATCTTCCAGTCTGTCAAGACAGACATCAAAGCTTGCTTATCAAAGCGTTTCTCTCGGAACTCGCTCGGTCGATGAACCCGGCGGGCTTCTTGTCGTAATTCGAGATAGCGCTTTTCGTCGGAGTCAAGCCACTTGGACAGAGCGGGAGAGTCGATGAGGAAGAAGAAGCACATGACGCCAATGACCACTGTAGCCAAACCTTCGAGAATGAATATCTAAGTTGTTGTTAGAACTATGCAATAAAGGTTCACGGCTTACAGACGCACCCATCGCCAACCTTCATACCCTCCGACACCATCCATTTTTGCGATGGCAAATGCTAGAAGGCCAGAGACGCCTCCGCCAGATGCGGCAGAGGTATAGAGAAGAGCTATCCTAGTCTGCGTCTCGTTTGGGAGGTACCACTTGGAGATGATCAAAATAGCGCCGGGGAGGAAGCCTGCTCTGTCCCTAAGTTAATCTTTGCTGTAGTCTCTCCAACCAGTTAGGAGTGATCGCTTACTCAAACAAGCCAAGGAATATTCGAACAGCTATCAGGCCACCATAGCTTTGGACCACGCCGTTGCAGGTCATGATGATGCCCCAGCATGTGACAATGCCACCAATGTAGAGCGAAGGTCTCTTGAACATGTGTAGAATCATGTTGCTCGGGACTTCGGCTAGGACGAATGGGATGAAGAAGACAGAAACTGCAATGTTGTACTCGACGCCCGTCATGTGGAGGCTACCTAACAACCCTTCGATCTTGGCGTTTCCAATATTGGTCTTGTCGAGATACGCCATGAGGTAGAGCAGAATCAGCATTGGCATAAGTCGGTACTATTGAAGATGCAAGTCAGATTATGTTGTAACGCCAATACGACGTATCATAGGGGGCAGTTGCAACTAAAGTGTGCGTACGTCGACTTTGCGGACTGCTTTCTTCTTCTTGTCCTCTGGGAAGTTGCCGAGGAATGCAACGTCATCAGGGCTCAGGTTGCCATTGCGTTGATACTCATGGTGGGTGACAGAGTCCTTTTCGTGAGAGACGTGTTCAATGTCGGAGCGGTCCGAAGAGACCCTGGTGACAGCCATTTCTCTTGTTGCGGATGTGATTGGTTGGCACTTTCTCTTTGTCAGAGAGTTCTCCATAGAATGAAATGATCGTTAGGCAGCTGCTTGAAGCTGGAAAGTCTTCGCGACTCGGCTTTATAGTTGAAAGGCGGGAGACGAGGCCTTAATATCCAGTTACTACCAAGGAACCTGGGGAAGCGGCGTGAAACCTACAGCTAGGCCTGGAGTTGCGGGGGAAATTTCCCAGGAATCTGGGGTACTGCCCTTGGCGCCGGGGTCCTCGAAGCAGCGAGTGGCTCGGAAAACAAATATTTTCCAGTCTTGATAGTAGCGTCAAGCCACTTCTGCTTAGCGTCAGCGTCCATAAGCAGCCCGGATTAGAAGATTTCGGAAATGCATGTACGAAGACTGCTTGTTTTATCAAACAACTTCGTCCCAGTCTCTCTAGTGACGCCATGAGCGGGGAGGATATGTGCAATGCATTGCTGTCGTAGATGGCGAGATAGTCACGGTATCCGTTCCGCGATTCTCCATGCCAAAGTTCGGAGCACATCACCTATGACACGTTTGCGGCATGTGGATGGGGTGACAATTGGACGAGCCCGGACTTGTCAAGCCCCATCCTGGCACTCACATCATCCTTACCTGTTCTCTTGGTTGTTATGTGTGTGTTCTGGCCCCTCTTTTAGTGGACATGAGTCGTGGTTCCGAGCCTGCTCGGATTTGCGTTCTCGGATTCTGACCGGAAAAGAAGTCGCCCATCTCACGCCGGTTCGGATGAGCGGGGCTGGTAGTCAGCTCCAAGCATACGCTGTAAGCATTCGGCATTCTTCTTCAATCATGGGAAAAGGTGCATGGATCCGAGTAAGTAGGCGCCACTTCGGCACGTTCTCAAATGCGAGCTCATCTAGCCCCTAAGAAAAGTTGTGTGTGAAGCTCGCCATGATCTGGTTATAAAAGACTTCATTGCAGGAGGTAGTTTTAGACTTGCCTTTACCTCACTCAATACACACATCAAAATCTCAGAACTCTGTAATCACTCTCAGACCACCTTAAACTTCCAATCCCACAAACCTTACCGAATCATGGGTTCCAATGTCGGCCTTGACCTCCGTGGTCTCACCCCTGCCCCCGTCACCCCCTTCAACAAGGACGGCAGCGTAGACTACGACGCCATTCACCGTCTCGGCTCCTGGCTCGGCAGCATCTCTGGCGTCAAGGGTCTCGTCGTTCTCGGTCATGCCGGCGAGGGCACCTTCCTGACGCAAGACGAACAACTTGCCGTCATCAAAGCCTTTGTCAAGTCCGTTGACAACCGCATCCCCATCATTGCCGGCATCACGGGAGAAGGCACCGAAGTAGCGGCCCTAGAGGCCAAGCGTGCCCGGGAAGCCGGCGCCTCGGCCGGTCTCTTGTACCCTTCTCACGGCTGGCTCCGCTTCGGCTATCAGCCCGGCGCCCCACAGGACCGGTACAAACGCGTCTTTGAGGTCAGCGGGCTGCCGCTGATCCTGTTCCAATATCCTGACGTAACAAAGGCGACGTACAACTTGCAGACTCTGCTCGATATTTCGGCGCAACCTGGCGTTTTTGCAATGAAGAACGGCGTCCGAAATATGAGACGATGGGATACTGAGATCCCCGTCATCAGAAAGGAGAGGCCGGATCTCCAGATTCTCACCTGCCATGACGAATATCTTTTACACACCGCCTTTGATGTCGATGGTTTTCTGGTTGGCTACGGCAATATTGCGCCCGAGGCTCTGATTGAGTTGATCAAAGCGGGCAAGGCAAAGGATTACCCCAGAGCGAGAGAGATCCATGACAAGCTGTTGCCAGTGACCAAGGCAGTGTACCATCGAGGATCGCACATGGAGGGCACTGTGGCGCTGAAGCACGCGTTGGTTGCGAGGGGAATCTTGGAGCATGCGACTGTCAGGTCACCGTTGTTGCCTTTGGAGGATGGAGCGGAGAATGAGATTTTCGCAGCTGTCTCTGCAGCTTCGCTCTCACGTGTCAAATAGTCGATGCATATTACTAGGTACCCTAGAAAATGCTGTGTTGGGAAAGTGCAATGGGCTATCATGTACGTACGGTAGAAACTAAAGAATCATTCGTTGTCATTCAGACAACTTTCCACTTCTAGACCCTATCAGCGGGAGTTGAAATCCGCCATAGACGCCTGCGTATTCCAACCATCGATCACCATTGGTGAAACCTGTAAAGGTCTAGCCAGTATTTTGAAAGCAGCTTTGGCAGCTAAGATGATTAGCGAGCTCAGCCCGCTATTAGCTGCTCTTAGGCCTAGGTGGCTTGAGACATCATCCTGATACCTGGTACCTACACTTCATTCCAGTCAAAAAAGCCACCAACATCATCCATAAGGCCATAACCCGGTGCGCTACTCGGCACTCGAGACAGACATTCTGCCCACACCTCAGACACTCAAGTTTCATCGAATTGAATTTGCCAACCGCTGTCTTCATGGCTCTAGAGTTTGCAGCACACTGATGGGATTCTGATGTTATTGTGCTACGGCATCGGTTCCTTTAAGATGGTCCTATCAGTGGGATAGAGCCGCAGTCTCCCCAGGTCTTTGTCTTGAAGATCGCTATGGTCTAGGCTCAAGCTGTGGCTCTCCAGGCTTGTGTGGCGAAAGCCTAATAGCCAGGAACGGCCAATATGTGTCTTTGTGGCTCTCGATAGCACGAGCCAAGCACATGTCTAGACGCCTTACACCTCCTCTCGATCCGTGGTCCCCTTTTACCAAACGGCGCGGGATTTCTTTCAGACATTCGAGCCCTGAATGTTTCCTTCTAACGCGGGCCGCCCTTCAAGAACCTTATCATTCCATATCCCCTCACTAGTGTGTCCCTGCAAAAAGACATCAGCTGTCTAGTCTTCCTCACAGACGAAGTATGGAGTCTACGAAGGATATTTTGTTCTTTCCCGGAATTTCCTGGGCCACATCCCGATGGACTCAGATCCTTGGGGTCGGGCTCGCGGCGTGGTTGTTCTACGGAACTTTCCTGGCAATCTACAGAGTCACCCTCCACCCGTTGGCAAAATTTCCTGGCCCGAAGTTCGCCGGTGCGACATACTGGTATGAGGTATGGTTCGATGTGGTACGCTGGGGAAAGTTCACGCATGAGATCAAACGTCTTCATGAGATTTACGGTTCGTAAACTTCCAACTACATGTGCGTCTTTGAGACTGATAGATGCTGATGTTATGTGATGCGTTTAGGTCCTATCGTCCGGATCAACCCAGATGAAGTTCACTGTAATGATCCAGAGTTTGTGGACATTATCTACGCAAATGGAAGTAAAAAGCGCAATAAGTCCAAAATGTTTGTAGAGGGGTTTGCTGCAGAGTGAGTTCACCCCATCCAATACCTCGTTCCACACATGTCAGGTTTGCTAACAGATGGCGTGTAGCTTGAAGAATGTGAGGGACCTTAGACGGCCCGAAGTCACTCATCAGTCAGCTAATTTTTGTCACCAGGGAGGATTCGGCACAGTTGACCATGCTCATCATCGCCTCCGCAGAGCGGCTGCCAGCAAGTACTTCTCAAGAGCGCAGATTGCCAAGCTGGAGTGGGTGATCCATCAAGATGCTCAACGACTTTGCGACAAGTTCCTTCGGTACCAGGGTCGTGGACCATTCGAAGCCGCGTCGGCGTACAGCTGCTTCACAGCCGACATTGTCAGCGATTACTGCTTCGGACAGCCTTTCGGGTTCCTTCATCAAGCTGATTGGGAGCCCAACTTCAAGGAGGCAGTGTATGCGATGTTGCAGTTGATCCACATCATGAGGCACTTCCCGTGGACGACGTGGTTGATGGAGGCTATACCATTGTGAGTACTGGTGTTCGCATGGCCTCCTGGTGGGTGCTAAAGACGAGCAGGGGCGTTATCAGAAAGCTATCGTCAAAGATGGGAGCGCTTGCTGAGCAGTCCAAGGTGAGAGCTTTCGATGGATGTATGCAGGTGGACAAGCTGACAAGGGCAGGTAAAAATGCCGGAGATGGTCAGGCAGACCAAGTCAGCATATGAAGCCGGCATCAAGCGCGACCGGACGACGGTGATCCATTCTCTTCTAGAGTCGGACCTGCCGCCTGAAGAGAAGACGATTAAACGACTCACTGGCGAGGCAACGGTGATGCTCGCCGCTGGCACTGAGACGACGGCTTCAGCCCTCAGTGTGTGCACCTATCACTTGCTCCGCAACCCGGACGTCGTTGAGAAGATCAGAGCCGAGCTTCTCTCCGTTACTATGAACCCCAAGGAGATTCCGACCTGGGCCACTCTGGAGAGGCTACCATACTTCAGTGCCTCCATCATGGAGGCATTGCGTATGGGATATGGTTCCCCGTCGAGACTACCACGGATCGCACCGGACGAGGACTTGGTTTACCAAGGCACGTGGACACCTCCAGGTGCCTCATCACCAGTGGAGGTGACGCACGTCATTCCACGAGGCTATGCGAGTGGTATGTCGGCGTGGATCATGCATCACGACGAGAGGGCGTTCCCCGACTCTAATAGATTCCTCCCTAAGAGATGGCTTGATGAAGACGGACAGAGGAGGCGGGGTTTGGAACGGTACCTATTGACGTTCTCCAAAGGAAGCCGGCAGTGTTTGGGCATGCAGTAAGTTTCTCACCATGTCTTTGCGGTAGCTCCCCATGATCTGTTATTCGGTCCAAACTTTCTGAGTTTGCAGCTGACCGGAAAAGGCTGGCATACTGCGAGCTTCACGTGGCCATTGCTGCCATGACGTTACGCGTCCTGCCGAAGTTGAGATTGTACGAGACGACAGACGCCGATGTAGAGTATGATTATGACCTTGCTGTTGCAATGCCGAAGAAAGGAAGCAAGGGCATCCGTCTGGAGGTGGTGTGAAGACTGCAGCGTTTGCGCCGAAGGCGCCATGGGGCCATAGCTCCTAGGCAAGCTTTGATGAGCAATTGAATGCGAGAAGCTCGTTGTTGAGAACATCCAATAGTGAAAGCTTCCTGGCGGCATAAGGGGATCTTCCGAGCTTGAGAGTGACATTGAGTTGATGCGCGAATGTACTTACACGGTGGTCGACATGGTTTCCTGGAAGACATGCTTCATTTTTCCTTAATGTATACTGAATTTGGAGTACACCCTCGACCTTAGAAATCTTTGAAGTGATTGTTAAGCAATCTAGATTGGATGATGAGTTCTCCAGGGACGAGTCAAGTTAAGTGAGTGAGTGAGAGCGAGTGAGTAAACAGGAAGACAGTGAGAGTAAGAGTGAGAATGGGAGTGAGACCACCGAATTGTCAGTGCGGCGCTTAGGGCCACACTGTGACCACATCTAGCCTAGCGAGCCCCACTCGGTCCCGAGCGCCGCGCCTACCGGGACCGAAGCCAGGGCCATTTGGAACTGAAAATACGGCGAACGGACTCTATCTTCGCCGACACTACCAACACATGGAAGCCTTTGATGATGGTTTTACGGTGTACGGATGGACACACGCACACCTGAATTTGCTTCCACTCATTGCTTCCACTTCGTTCACCATCATTGTATGCTTAGGTAAGACGACGCGCGCGAGTATTACCAATGCGCCGCCCAGCCCCCTGACTAAGGCAATCTAACGATCCAAGGATCTAGAGACACCGCCGAAAAAGACAAGCCAAGCCGTCCCCATTTATGATCTCCCACTCTAATTATCTACTACTTTTGCTGGACAATCTAGACCCGATGCGACTCTTGGGAATCAACGATTGGTGAAGCCTATTCATTGGGTCACGACCTTTGCTTCCGGCGCGCGGCTTCCCGAGTGGCACAGTACAGAAACAAAGAGCCAAAGTGCCCGTAGACAGCCACTAGGCGCCCATCTGGCCAGTTCTCCGCAATCAATGTAGCAAGAAGCATATGATCCAAAAGAAAAAGGAAAAATCATCTTCTGTCCCCGTCTTCCTCAAGAGCGCGCGCTACCTCTGACTAATGCCGTGGCACCCGCCGCGCCGTTGCCTTGACTCGGCCTGGACCCCTGCCTTTACCATGTTGGTTGGTGCATGTTGGAGCCCTGGGCAAGCTCCGGACATTGTCTGACGGCACGGAGTACATCTGCAGTAGGGCTTATTCCTACGTCTTTTTCATGTAGCATCACAGTCTATGGATACCACTACAGTTAACCCGCTCCATGCGTCTGATCCCAAATCCCAAGTGCCAGAAGAAAAGAGAAGCACACCAAGCTTTACCAAATCCAATTTCGCTTGTCACACGCAAGCTCAGAGCTGAATAATCCGAGCGCCGCTTCGTCTGAAACATTGGATTGGCTCTCAAATGGTTCCATCCAGCGCGAGATGTACAGGCACACAGGGAAAAGACCGGGCCGCAGTGCGACTATGCCGGCGTGCGTGCAAGCGTGTGGTACCTCGCATCTTTGGGGATGGGATGGATGAGATGGGAAGGATTGGGCCGAAGCCCAGGGCGTCAGCTAAAAAGTCCCCGGATCCTCTACCTTTGTGCCGATAAAAATCATTCATTATCCTCGCTCCCACCCTTTTCTCGAGACCCTGCGCCTATGCCTTGAGCCCTCTCTTCCTATCGTAGATCTCTTTGTCCAAGCAACTGTGCCTCGTTGGGTGCTCTTTCACAGGTGTCCACTCTCGCACTCCCCCACGGCAGTCCCGTACCGTCAAATCTCAACTCCGGCCCCCAAATACCGGCGACCTTGCTTACTTTCTCCCTTGATTGGGGAACATAATCTCACCTTCATCACCGCCAACCCTCTTTCCTCAACAACATCTCATACCTCTCATCATTCGCTGCCAAGAAAAACAGAACAACCTCACAAAATGGTCAAGCAGGTCGTGATTCTGGGCGCAGGCTACGCAGGCCTCGGCGTCGCCCATAAGCTGCTCAAGTATACCCAGCCCAAGGTCAAGGATCTCAAGGTCATCCTCGTCTCTCCCTCAACCCACCTGTACTGGAACTGCGCCGCCGTGCGCGGTCTTATTCCCGGCGAGTTCTCCGACGACACTCTCTTCAACGAAATCAAGCCCGGCTTCGAAAAGTATCCCCAGGATGCCTTCGAGTTCGTCCTCGGCAAGGCCACCACCTTCGACGCCACATCCAACACAGTGCAGATTGAGACTAAGGAGGGCCTAAAGTCACTTGAGTACGCACAGCTCATCATCGCCACCGGCTCATCCCTCGCCAGCGGCGTTCCCTTCAAGACCATCGGCACCCACGAAGAGACCCTTACCGCATGGCACAACCTCCAGTCCGAGGTCAAGGTCGCAAACTCCATCATCATCTCCGGCGCCGGCACCACGGGCGTCGAGACCGCCGGTGAGCTCGGCCACGCCTACGGCTCTACCAAGCAAATCACCCTCATCGTCGAGGGCGACGCGCCGCTCCCCGGCCTCCTGCCCCAGCTCGGCAAGATCGCCGCCAAGAACCTCCAGCAGCTCAAGGTCAAGCTCGTCACCAATGCCCGCGTCACCGAGGCCAACACCTCTGGCGCCCTCAAGTCCATCAAGCTATCCAATGGCGAGACCCTCACCGCGGATCTCTACCTGCCTCTCTTTGGCGTCCGGCCCAACTCCTCCTTCATCCCGGAGCACCTCCTTGATGACAAGAGCAGCCTGAAGCTCAAGCACGACCTCCGTGTCGAGGGCCTCACCAACGTCTGGGGCGTCGGCGACATCGGTAACCTCGAGGCGAAGCAGCTTATGCGCGCCGAGGGCCAGGCGCTGCACCTCGCCGACAACCTCGATGCCGTCCTCACCGGCAACGAGACCAAGGTCAAGGACCTCAAGCTCACGCTCAAGCCCCAGGTATTTGTGACGATTGGCAAGAAGAAGGCCACCGGCCAGTTCAACACGATGAAGCTGCCTGGCTTCATCGTCAGCGCCGCCAAGGCCAAGACCTTCTTCACCGAGAAGGGTCCTGGTCTCGTCCAGGGCAAGAACATCGCCAGAGCGTCGATTTGAGGAAGTCTACTTAATTGGGTGAATGATGGATGATGGAGAAAGATTGGTAATGGGTTTGCTTCAGCTTTGATATCCCGGGTTGCGAACCGTCGTTGCATGGCTTATAGTGTGTAAGCACACGGAACTTTTAATCATTGGACATATACCCTTAATATAGTCAAAACACGCAATTGTAGTGTCTTCCAAACCCGTGATTTGTCTATTGATCTCATCTCATCTCATAGCTGACCTAGGCTAGGCACCCACGTTGGGGCAGCCACCTGACAGCAGCACGATAACAGTCGCATGTATCTAAAGCCTGACTGCCGTTTTCACAACGTCCCTCATAGCATCTTTCATTTCGATGTCAGCACTCTTCTCAGCATCGATCCAAATGCCCATCTCGTGCTCCTCTACATTGACCTGGAAGCCAGCTCCATCTCCTCTGGCAATGACAACAAAATTGAAATGAACCACCGAACGTCTGATCACAACACGCTGGGCAGCCTGGGCAGCCTGGGACGACGGGCCCGCAACAGCATTCTCCACGGTTTCTTTTCCCTTGGCCGACGAATCCTCCACCGTCTCTTCCTGGATGTCGAGGATAGGTGGAAGGCAATTCCAGACATCAATCACCTGAAGAGAGACCGACTCAGCGACCGTCCGGATGATGGCATCTCGAACGGTGGGATCAGCATCCTTCATTTCGCCTCCGGGAATCCCGTGGAGGTTGTCATTATCACGGCCGGGCTTGTTCTTGAGGATCAGAGTCTCGGCTCCGGAGGGTCCACGGCGGACGATGGCGGCGCCGACCATGATCTTGGGACAGGGGATTTGGGCTCGAAGGTCTATCCACGAGAGCAGGTCGCTGCGGGAACAGTCAAGAATGTCCATTCTGGGCATGTTGATAGTTGAAGTGAGATAATTGTTGACCCGTAGTGTGTAGAGTAAAGTGTCGAGATAGAATTTTCAATGGGAGCTTGTATTTTTTGACTGCTTGGCGGGCGTAAGGTGGGCAAGGATGAGAAGTAAAAAGTAGGATTTCGTGGGACTCATATACCTTCCAGACACTCAAAAACTGGGACATCAGTTCCTGGTCAACCATGCTGCAGCCTGTTTGCCTAGTTGGGAGTGACTGCCTGTCGTGTTGAAAGAGTATGACAAAGACTCTTTTGGCTTCGATGTAGTCGTGAGACTTCGTAAGGGTTCACATGATAGATGATAAATTTTCAGTCTAAGGGTATTACACGCCGTTTCAGAACCTAATGAGAGTAGCCAGGATGATGGTACCGTGGCCACCAGTCCGTTCTAGATATTGATAGTTTTGAAACTCATAGGATAAGAGCTTGGCATTTACAAATAACATATTTCGTCCCCTTGAAGTTTTACTACAAGCCAGTCACTACTGGAATGTTATAGAGCCGGCCTCAAGTCCTGAGCGACTCTGCCAGCACGTTTCCAATCATGATGTCTCAGCTCTTTGATGCTTGCCTGTTTCGAAGCCAAAAGGTGAGTTATCATAATTCTAGTCATCTATCGTAAATCATTCCTGATATCGCAACTCTATTCTAACATTTCTTCAGACCAATACGCACCTCACATATGATACATACTCAACCAGCGCAATACTGGCTCTTGCTTCTAAGCCACGCGCCCCATCTCCACATAATAAACGGCACAATCAGTCCCATCACAAAGACAATACCAGCAAGCAGTACATTGCCCCAGGCAATACCCAACACATCATATAATCTCGGTGCAAACAACGGGAAGCTGAAACCAGCCATCGTCCGCACAAAGGCCGCCGCACCTGCTGCGCTGGCAGCATACCTCTCATACGAGTCGATGACATAAGTCTGCACGCACTGAAAAGACAGGATTAGGCCGGCGGCTAGAATCGCTGCGCCGATGTTTGGAACGATCCAGTGGACTTCAAAGTGTGCTGCGATCCCATACAGGAGGAGACCTATGGGAGTGATTATGGCTGTGGGGAACATGAGAGGGATCCTGAACTCTGGACGACCTGTGTCGTTATTCTGTGCTTTGAGTTTACGATAGACCTGCAATTTGTGAGTCAATGGTATCTAGGTGTTACTGCGAGTGCATCTTCATCTCACCTTATCAATAAGAGGTCCGGATACTTGTAGCCCGATCACGAAGCCAATGCCAAGTGAGATGTAGTTCAGACTAGCTGGTCCGGGCTCCATGTCGTACTGCTCACTCCATACAAAAGGGAACGACGCGAGGCTTGAGATAAGTCAGCTTTCATGCATATTTCCATACTGAGAAACTGAAACCTTACACAAGATACATAAGACCATACAGGTATGCCCTGTACACAGCAGTGATCTGCAGTGCTGGCTGAGTAAAAAGCATCCTAAATGGTCTGACAAGGTTCTTCCGCAACGTCTGTCCGAAAGTCCTGTCTGGACGATCAAACTCTGTACGCAGATTCGCGTTACCCGTCTTCTTGCGCAGCATCTTTGCTTTGATTGCCAAAATCTTAGGGGCGTAAGTCTCGGAAAGAAAAAGAAAGGCAAGAATTTGGACGACCGCATCGGCGATGGAGACGGTCCAGAAGATCCAGCGCCAGGAGAGGTACTGTGTCAGATATCCGGCAGCTAGAATAGTAAGAAAAAGACGTTCCGTAAATGCACCCAATATGCAGGTAGTAACACTCACCGATAGGGCCGACAGCTGGCCCGAGAAATGGGGCCAGACTATAAATGGCAGTCGCAGTGCCTCTCTCTTCGGCTCTCCAGCAATCACTCAGTACGCCGCCACCAAGCTGAGGATCATGTTAGCAAGAGTTTCCACGCTAGACAGACCAGAAACCTACAGCCTGAGGAGCACTTCCACCAAGGCCACTGAGGAATCGAAAAGCCAACATCTGTTCCTTTGAAGCAGAGAAGCCGCAGATGGTATTGAAGATCAAGTAAAACATGTTGGCAGACTGAAGCACAACAACACGACCGTACATCTCAGACAATGGTGCAAGAACGAAAGGCCCCACGGCGTACGCGAGGAGAAATATGGACATGAGGAGATATGTCTCAATGTCAGACTCAACGTCAAAGTCGTCCGCGAGGGTGTCCAGTGCCGGGGCTAACATGGTTGAGGAGACTGGTGATATGAACGTGAAACATGAGACCAAGATGGTTGCCGTCCATTTTTTGTGCCTGGCCCAATTCTTTGGGTTCATTGGGTCGTCAGGCCCAGACCATGTCACCTGGAAGATGGTTAGCTTTCTGAATTCTGGGCTGACAAGTCGGAGTACACAATCCTATAGATGAGGTTTACTTATCACATACCAGGTCTGGGTCTTCAGGATCATCAGGTCTGATACCCCGTGCAGGCTTTTCCTCAAGAGGAATCTCTGCAGAGGGTCCTGCCTGCGTATTGTCATGGGAAAGTAAGTGTGAACGATCGTCATGAGCCGACGTCTCCAGGATAATCCCAGGATGTCTGCAACCAGATTCTTCCACTGGGTTTTGAAGCCAGGGAAATTTGTATGCTGTTCTCTCATACTCTGTGAAAGAAGGTAGTCCTGGACTCCACCCTCGCCATAGGCTAGATCGAGATCGAGTTAAAGTCCTGTGAAGGCTGAAGCCCGTTTCGGAGTCCGCCGATACCGGCTTACGGGGAACGAAGTAGTAGGCATGTGGTTTCGAATCAGACATGACAGAAACGGAATAAAGATGCAGAAGCGAGAGTTGGAAAGTCTTGAAGCGAGTGTGTAAAGTGCGTTCTGAACGAATGTTGTGGGTAATTTTGAAAGGTCTGTGTGTATGGTATGGAGCTATAGAACTTCATTTAGCATATTATATGAATTTCCTCAAGACTGAAAAAACGAGCGTATCTCGTGAACAAATCTGATAAGCCCAGTCTTCTAGCAACAAGATGACAAGAAAAACAGCACCGCCTCATGCACTCATGATAGCATCGCCCCGTCTCTGGCGTGATGTCCTCGGGCTTAGGAGATCAGCCTTCCTGTAAGCGGCAGAACCAGCTGGGCTCAAGAGGTCACACATCCCTGAATTCATTCGCCCAAGTTCGTCCCGCCAGGTGATGCAACAAGGAAACCCAGCAATGCCAGAGTGTATGTTCAAACCAAGTCGCGGGTGAGAATGACAGCCGAAGCTTTCTTGGCAGTCGATCGGCGGGGTGGAAGTGGGTTCTTGGATTGCTACGTCAACTGTGGCTGATGAGTGCGTTTTTGGAGTAACATTTTTCTAGACTCCGCCCAAGCGACGCCATGAGCCCAAGGATAACCCTGAAGGTAGGTGCAATTCTTATTTATAGCTCAGGTACGGCCGTATGTGATTGGAAGACTATCTTTTAAGACGGGAAACCTTGAATAGATGTTTCGGGGTCCGTCGTCGGATGAGATACGAGATCTGGGACAACCAATCTGGTCGCGTGCTCACTACTCCTGGCATCACGCCTAGGAATTAGACATCATGATACCACGCATACTAGCCAGTTGAATCTTGAGAGTACACCGTCCAATCGGTACACCGCAGTTGTCATTCTGCTCTGCCGCTTTCAGAGGCTGTGCCATGATGTAACCTCCGTAAATGTCCTGCTACGCCATGGAAGCCGTTGACAGGTCCTAGCCTTACCTTGTTTCCAGCCATCTCGTGTGAGTTGGTTGCATTCGACAGCCCATCGAGGCAAGGGACACGTGCAGGGCTGAGAGAAGCCATCATGGTCCCTGGCCTTGGGTATGCAAAGATCACACGATCGCATGCCCATTTGCGAAAATACGCACCGGCGGAGCATTTCATCGCCACGGCTCGGCAGCTGGACGCTTGTCACTCCAAGCCAGACTACCCGTGCTGATTATGTTCAAGCTTGAGACCAGAGAGATGGTATCCGAGGGCAAGTCGGAAAGAGCCATCTACAGTTGTGTTAGTTTCGTCTTGTTCAAGGCCTACTGCGGATCATCATCAGAAGGATATAAAGAGAGCAGATTGCTGTGTCTGAGAATTGCGTTGGGATGGATCAACAACACTGTCAGTTCACATCTTCATCTACGTCACTTACATTCGCTTCTCGCAACCACTTCACTCGCTAACATCATTCGCTTGATTTCAAACAAATGAACTCTGCCCACAACAACATCACGGCAACACCTGATCTTAGAGAGTCATCACCATCTCCCATTGATCTTGCCGAGTCCGCACCCCAAAACATCACTCATCAAGCCGATATGGGTTCTCTTCCTGTTCCAGAGGGCATGAGAGTTCTTGTATGTCCTTCGGGATTCAAGGGAAGCTTACAGCCAGACGCTGCAGCTGACTGCATCGAAGCGGGCATTCTGGCTGTCATGTCAGAAGCAATCGTCCGCAAGGTTCCCCTTGTCGACGGAGGCGAGGGTTTCACTCGTGCCCTTGTGTCGGCGACTGGTGGTACGCTTCACCCAGTCACCGTCACGGGCCCCGTTGGCATTCCGATTGCATCCTTCTTCGGTATCTTGGGTAGCAACAATCCCGATACTCCAAAGACTGCCGCCATCGAAATGGCGGCAGCGGCTGGCCTGAGTCTCGTGCCTGCTCATCTTCGCAACCCGGGCCTTACCACAACTTTTGGAGTCGGCGAACTCCTCGCCGCTGCTTTGAGCGCTGGTGCGAAGCGGATCGTCGTCGGATGCGGTGATTCGGGCACCTGTGACGGCGGTGCGGGAATGCTCCAGGCGCTTGGCGCTCGACTTATTGACGAGGATGGGCATTCGCTTCCCATTGCTGCCGGGGGCGAGTCCCTTCTGCGTTTGAGGAACATTGACCTTGGCAGCATCGACAAGCGTGTGAGGGACGTCACCATCGAGGTCGCCGTTAACTGGAACAACGTGCTGTCTGGCCCCGACGGCGTTGCCAGAGTCTTTGGCGCGCAAAAAGGCGCCAGCGAATTGCAGACAGAACACCTTTCAGCAGCCATGGAAGTCCTCGCCGTCGTGGCTGGTCGCTTCCTCTGCGACGACAACGTGGGCCTCTCGCCCGGTGGAGGGGCTTCTGGAGGGCTGGGCACCGGTTTGCGGCTGGTCGGCGCCAAGCTCCGGCCAAGATATGAGGTGGTGGCGGAGTATGTCGATTTCGATGGCCTCTTCACTGACTGTGACCTGGTGCTCACGGCCGAAGGGGGCATCGACGACCAGACTCCGCGAGGCAAAATTCCCGCAGAGATTGGCGTGCGCGCGAAGAAGCACGGCCTGCCTGTCATCGCAATCGCCGGAACCATAGGGCCAGGAGCGCGGGTCAACTACGACGTCGGGATCGATGCGTACACGTGTATCCTGCAGCGACCATCCACGCTGGACGAGGCCATCCTAGACGCGGAGGTTCTGACGCGCGAGAGCGCCGAGTGCGTCATGCGGATGATTGTCGTCGGCCAGGCGTTGGGGTCCAAGAAGGGCTTGTCCATGGCGCAGCAGCCGGCTTCGACATGGGTTTAGAGATGTTTCTGATTGATTGTTCTTTTGAGTTGCAATGTAGCCAAGACCGTAGATGGGGAGACTGGCACGACTGGATGGGCTTAGTGTACGCCAGTAGGGAACAGGGATGTGATCTAGAGTTTCTTTGACCGACATGAGAATATGAAAGAATGACCGCTAGCAGCCCTGGAGGAGACAAATTCAAGACTTGGCATGAATCAGAAATTTCTGCTGAGAAGGGAGATGTGACTGGCGGGAGAATGCACCAGCCAAGACGCTTGGTGTGGCGATGCAAGTTGTGAGTTGGCTATCCAGGGGCAAGATTGGAGATCAAGTGAAAGATAGTAGTAGTAAACAGGATTATGTCATGTAAGAATCGGATGATCAACTCGATTTAGGTTTGAAGGGATGTTCATCCGAAAGGCAAGCGAGACGGGATGGAGGTGAGTGAGAGTTGTCATGCCGTTTTGATAAACCACGGAACGGGACGGAAGCGGCGGCGGGGGGAACCATGAGACGGAGGAAAGAGCCGTTCGAAAGTACGTACCGTTAGACTTAGGACCACGATCTCTCACAGAACATGCAGGAGACGGGGTGCAACGTTTGAGGATTGACAGATCTCTTTTGAATCCCAATGAATGCACTTTAGTCTATTCTTGTAAACTTTTGTAACTGTCTAGCTGATCATCTTGATGCGTCCCTCTAGAACTGGTGCAATGACACGGGTCCAGTCGACCGTGAACTCCCCCTCATGCAGAGGGTCACATACCTCAGCCTTTACACCCGCCTTGCTCGCCCATCTAGCGAAGAACTTACGCATAATGAGCATCTCCATGTCAATCTGAGCGACGCTGTCCACTTCATCCTCGGAATCGACCTCCTCGTCGGAGTCATCCTTGGGGGGCTTGACGTTTAGGGCATGTCTTTTGACCATCCACTCAGCCCATGACTTTGACTCAACCTTTGGCTTGGGGTCCGACGTGCCCGTCTCCGCCGGCGTCTCCCACATTTTCCGGGGCTCGACCGGGCTGTGGCACTTTTCGGCAACCTTGACCCAGTGTTCGCTAAGGTTCTTCCATTGGCCAACTGTGCGAAGGCTCATAAAATACTGGCGCAACATGGCGGAGATGAGAATGCCGTTCTCTTCGCAAACGATTTCCTCGGCGGTTCCGCCCTCGGGCTCGACGAGCAGGCTGGTAAATCCGTCTACTTTGGTCAGCTAACAATCTGATTGCAGGAAGCTCCAAAATTACCTTTTCCTCTGCCCATGTACCCTCGGGTCGCAAGTGTATACTTCTTTTCCGGTTCTATCGGTCCGCCTCCAAGGGTCGCTGCTACGATACGGGAGCCCGCTGGCTTGCTGGGGTCGAACGTGTACTCGATGTTGGATACTTGCGGGAATCGGCCTGAGGGGTCAGCAATTTCCAGGGCCTTTGAGAGTAGTATGCTATATGGAGATTACCTTCTTGTGCTGGGTACTGGGAGACGCCATTCTCCAAGGCATCCCAGAGCTGCTGACCAGTCACTCTGATAAAGATAACGGGGTCCTCAAAAGGAAAGCAATTGGTGACATCCCTGACCCTGATCGCACCGGGAGGATAAATCTGGTCGCCACGGATTGTGCCAGCTGCCATTAGGGCACAGTCGGCGTTGTGGTAATGCCTCATGACGTCGCAAACGAAATTCCCCATGTTGCTCTCCTTCATCCGGACGGTGCTGAATCTCGCATCCAACGGTGAGGCTGTCCAGCCTACGGACTTGGCCAGGCTGTGTTTCAGCTTGGAGGTCAGGTCTTCGGTAAGCTTTAGTGTCTCCTGATCTTCCGCGATAGAGGAGACGATGTCGCGCTGCAGAATGTCAAAGTCCCACTTTCCTGAACCGTCCTCCCTTTTCCGAACCTCGATGTAACTAAGCTGTTTAAAGTCGGAGCCGGATCGGAGCACGTGCGTGCCATTGACGAAGCTATGAGCGTAGTAATGGTCGTGTCCGCCCAGGATTATGTCGATGAGACCCTCCGTCTTCTCGGCAAGCTTGTTGTCGTTTGGCTCGCGCTGATGACTGAGACAGATGATGATGTCGGCACCCTGAGCCCGGAGCTGCGGGACCAGTTCCTTGGCTGTCTCGCTGGCCGACTTGTAGATGATGTTGGGCGGCAAGCTGTTGATCGTTTCTAGCCATTCTCTTTCGCCGAGACCGAGGAGACCGATCTTGATACCATTGGACGATGTGATCATGTGCGTGTGCTTGGCATGTCCGAGAGGTACATTCTCGCCCAGGGCCGGGTCCAGGACATTGGCGAGGAGCCAGGGAAAGTTGCACTTAGCAGTCAAGTGCTCGAATTGCTTGACTCCAAAGTCGAAGTCATGGTTCTGTGAAGCATGTAAGTTCCGAGAAAGCAGCAGTAAAGTTTGAGGCCCACTTACACCAACGCAAGTGCAGTCAACGCCGATCTTGTTGAGCACTGGGACCATGTGCTCACCTGGGGCGCAATGAGTACAAGTGACAGACAAGTGAGACGTGATGGGGATGCGCTGTACCTTTTGTGACTGAACTCTCGAGACTAGGGTTGAAGACATCTCCTGAAAATAGAGTCACTAGCTCGGGTTGGCCCTGGTAGCGTTCGTGGCTTCGGTACTCGTTGGCGGCAGTGATGAAGCGAGCAACACCACCCACCGGCTCAGCGCTCGCGGGTTCCAAGTGGTAAACATCGTTGAGGTGGAGAAGACGCAGGGCAACCGGTGCGTTGGAGCCCGAGCTGAAAGTGACGACGGGCTCATCGGGCGCTGGGGTGTTTTTGGGCATGGTGGGTACTATGGAGAGGGAGGGAAATAGAAGTGGTCTAGGAATAGCAATGTAGTCAGAATCAGTCGGAAGACTGATTAAGAATTGCAACGCAAACGAGCGTTGCTCGTGAGCTGGAGCTAAGGATAGTGTGAGTGAGGTAAAGTTAGGTTTTGGAGTGAAGGCGAGGTGCCGTGCCGTCCATCAACCGTCGTCCTTACGGTGCGGTGAGCTGAGTACTGCGGGGGCGGGGGCGGGGCAGGGGCAGTGAATTGGACCACGATTGATTGGTGCAGGAGCAACGGGGACGCAGGAACCAACCAAAAGAGACAATTACCAATGCCAGGTCAGAGGCACGTGATGCAGTTGCTGCGCCATAGTGGGGCAAGATACGTCTTTCTCGAGCACAGACTCCATCTGATAAGGATAAGGTTGCTGCTAATTATAACCAATGCCCCACCAGCACTTGCTGTTTCTCTGCAGGGAATTCCGCCAGCGCCTTTCTTCAATTTGTTGAACGTGGGTAAATTGATTCAAAGGTAATTCTCTCTTACACCGCTCAAATAAGTTGCTACCCTGCCCATACAGTCCAGAAAAGTCGGTTATCTCCGAATGTGGTGCACCAAAGTCCAGAACCTTTCCCTCTCCGAGTAAAGCGACTGTGTCGCAAAGACCCACATGCCCAAGTCGATGCATCACCACCAACACTGCCAAGCGAACTCAGTGTCTGTTGCATTCTGCATTCTAGAATCAGTCGCAGCATCAACGCTGCAACATGTTAGCCAGGTCCAACCCTTTTTTTTTTCAAACAAAAATCCATCTGCAAAAGAACATAACTTACTTGCTCATTGCCTCTTCCAGTAACAAAACTTTGGACTTCCGCAACTTGGCTCTATTACTGACTCGCTGACCACCCAGCAGAGTCAATATACTTATTCATTCCCCCCTATCTCGAAACAATATCTCGGTGCCCAACCTTCTCTAAAACTTGCGAAATCTCTCTGTCATTCGAGACGATGCAGAAAGGATCGATATCAAACGAACAGTTTCCGGCATCAGAACCGGATCTTGAGAGACCACACTTATTCGAGAGCGAAGATCGCCTTGCGTCACCATGTCAGGTCACACACTCCCGTCCTTGTACATGTGGTGAATTCTTCCATTTTCCAGCCGATGCTGGAGAGTAGAGTTAGATAAGCCGGTACTCGAGGATGCCACAGACTGAGAAGTGTTAAAAGAGCCATTTAAGTATCTCATGACGTAACGGTGTAAGGGGGGGGGGGTGGAGCGCTTATTTACTTGCGCTATGTCCGAAGCAGCGTCACTCATGACCTAAAGGAGCAGCATGTTTAGGCACCTCATGCATTTTCTTTATTTCGAGGATTGATGAGAAGCTGTCGCATCTATTGAAGTCCGTCTAACTTCAATACCTGGTTGCCGGCCCATATCGCCGTGCTCCCATTTCACATCTCCAAGAATAGGTTTTCTGCCCCCATCGTTATGTCTCCTACGTCTCACGAACTCGAATGACAGTCGACATAGGGGCAGTCGTCGGCAGGAACTCGAAGTTACGAATGAGCTAGGATCAAAAGTCTTAGTTATCTATACTTCGAATCATTTTCCACGATGCTTGGGACACTCACCGTGACAAATATCTTGTTCAGCTCTATCATGGCCACCGCTTTGCCCGCACACTGCCACCTGCCAGCACCGAAAACCAACTCGGTTCGTTTTTTCCATTCTTTAACCGTGGCGTCAGCGGCTTCGAGCCATCTCTGGGGCCGGAACTCGTCGGCGTCGTGTCCAAATAGCTCTTTATCATGCGTAACTGACCACGTGTCGTGTGCGACTCTTGTACCTGGAGGTAAGAATTTGCCCTCGTGCACATCGCCTTCAGGCCCGACCTGTTTCATGAGCAATCCAGTGAACGGCGGATGAACACGGAGGGACTCGAAAATGACTGCCTGAGCAGACCAGTGTTAGCGCGAAGCCGAGGAGCTTGATCGCTTCTATCAACTCGTCATATGCGGCCTGGGCTTACCTGAAGAAAGGGTAGCTTCAGAGCTTCTGTGTTGGTGATGGGCTCAGAGATTGATCCGTCTGAAATCGCTGTCATAATTTCCTCTTCAAGCCTTTCGAAAGTGGAAGGATTGCTTAGTAGGTATTGCATTGTCCACTTGATGGCCTTTGCGGCTGTATCCGAGCCAGCGACCATGGGAAACATGATTTCAGACTGCGCGGAACGTTGGTCAAGCCCATGGCGGATGAAAGATCCCTATTCAACTTATTAACGATCCAAAGGTGTCAACGGTGTTTTCTCAGTTTGGCTCACAAGTAGGTCGGGCTCGTCCTTTGCATCCGGAGCGAAACGTTTCACAACGTGCTGCTGGGCGAGTCTACAGGCCACACCGGTTAACATAACGATGATTTCCCAAGTCACAGGCTGTGCCTTGTAATTGAAAGATCGAGTTCACAGAAACCCTATCGACTTACCCCATGATCTTTCCGAAACCACTCGAATCCGTCGGCTTTGGTCCCAAGAATCTAAGCACGAGATCCGACGTGAAGATCATCTGTAGCGCGGGAATATCCGTGAAGAATTGCAGCACATCTATAGCAATATTCGATGTTCTGACAAGGCTAAAGACGTCCGTATCCTTCTCCAAAAGTCCGATAGGCCGCCCAAAAGACATCCTTGACCGAGCGTCCATGGCGTAGTAGTCTGCAAGGCGGCCGAAATCGACGGTTTCCGAATCTGAGGATTTAGAAGCCCGGTTCTTTCCACTTATTTCAGAAATGTTGGCGATCTTTGACCTCGACGTGTACTTAAGACGGATCAAGTTGACAAGATCCGCGATACCGGAGTTAATACTGGCCTCTAGTCCTGGGATGTCCTTTCCCACGTATCCTGGAGATAGCTTCGTCCTCAAAGAGTGATGGGCCGACTTATTAAGCACACTACCCATCATATCGTGGTATGGATCTAACCGAGTCGCCTTATACCAGCTGCTGCGCTCATAAGTTGACTTCGCTGCTGACATGCGCCTAATAAGTTCCGGATCGGACGTGATTACATCGTTAGGTCCTATACGAACGAGCTTGCCGTACTGCGCCGTGAGTCTGGCGTATTCAGCATACGCGCGAGTTCCGTGACATCGAATTCTGAACATTGGCCAGTATGAGAAGGAACATGGAAAGGGGCCAGGTAAATGCCATAAGCGACTCCATGACCTCACAATGGCAATGAGAAAGTATGATACGATTGCAACATAGAACAATCGGCTAGTGAATACCAAAGATGAGAAATGTGCTATTTGAGATGTGGAAGAAGTCATGTTTAAAGATTGATTTGGCCAGAATTGGGAATGTCAAAGGGAATCAAAACAGATGCGGTTGTGTGGAAGGCGGTAAGGCCTTTTCTGAGATCTTGCTGGGTGAAAAACGTGCACGTAGATTGCAGGATTTGCCTGAAGATAATCAAGCGTAAATGCCAGATCCTGAAAGCCAATGCATTCTTTGGAAGAAAGCGCCCGATTTAAGATCTCCCACGGGCTGCTGCGAATGGCCCGGAAAGCACCTATTCTGGCGTATGCAGGGAGTGGACGAGAAATACTGGCACTGGGAGATTTGGCGCCATTTGAATGGTTCACTTTGGGAAAATACTTGGGTGATCTCGCTAATGCCTTACAGTAGGAAATGGGGCAGACAGAGTGGATGAAATGGCACGCTCTCTATGACGCTAGACCGAGATCTATGTCAGGCCATGTGGATTGTCGCAAGCGCTTCCATCTTTGACTTTCGTAATCCAGGGCAGAAGGAGGGATGCTTTCGATGCCATAAAATATCACAATTACCGAATTTAAGTTTCTACTGTGTGGGATTTGCCTTCCTGGCAACTGTGGGTTCGGAATCACGAACCAGGGACAGAAAAAGTGTCGAGTCAGGACCCAGTGAACGAGAATCAATTTATTCGTATGTGCTCATGGCCAATCAACTCATCATACAAAGAACTCCATGCTCTGCTGATACGAATAGAGCGGTGAGCGAGACACTCGCATAGGACGAGGACTGATCCTAAGGAATCTGAATATACCGGTGTCTCCGGTGTCACCGACGCCACCCATGCCACTTGTGCCATAAAGTTCACGTTTTGCAACAGGTGTGGTAAGTATTATCCCTCAATCTCTCAGTTAACTCACTTTTCAAAATTACAAAATAACTTGCATAACTTCCGAACTTCAGCAAACTGAACATGGTTGCCCCAGTGTCAGCCTCAGTTGATCTCAGCGTAGCCGACGGTCCGCCTCTCGATCTTTCGGGAGTTCCTGACGCCTGGGATGGCCTACTTTTGGCTATAGACAGTCACCCAAACGAATTGGCCTTGGTGTGTTCTCATCAGCCTCATGATCTGTTTGGCTTTTCCAGTGTTGGCCCGTCTGGCTCTGAAGACACAAGTTCCGAGAATGAATCTCCGCAGTATCTTCGCTGGACTTTTCAAATTCTCGCTCAAGCTATCCACAAGCTCGTGGTGACCAAGTATTCTATAGTTGCAGATGCTGGTCTGCTGAAAGAACTCGGTCCTGGAACTTCGGTGGTAACATTTCTCCAAAATGGTGCCGACTTTGTACTTGCGGCTTGGGCTTCTGTCGCAACAGGTTGCACCTTGACTCCTTTAAATCCCCTGGCACTCAAGAATCGCGATGAGACAGCTCACATGCTCAGAACTGCTTTGAGTCTTGCCCCCGATGGCAGTGGCCCGAGGTTTATCTATGCTGCCAACTCGGATGTGGCCAGAGATATTGACAAGCTGGATGTTGACAACAACATTCTTGGGCCCCACGTTGTTAAGATATTGGCTTCGGGGTCCGAGACAAGAGAAGGCTGGCTTCGCCTTGATGATTTGATGAGACCGGTCGACAGCACTGACAAAGATGACTTGTTCCGCTCAAACTCCACTCTTAGCCTTGAGATCAGGGATCCTGCACAGGCTGGCATTGTTCTCTTGTATGTTAACCCAATTTTACCGACTGCTTCAAGATCTGGCTGATGCTAATTTTTGAGTAGCACCAGCGGTTCAACAAGCACACCAAAGGGCTTATTCTGCCGCCATACGGTCTTGAATACTTACACGAACAGCCGACTACTACTTTCACCGTCTCATATTCTCCCACAAGTTGGTTCGAGAGTATGCAGTATTCTCCCTAACAATCATGGAAACGGCTGGACTTGTATTCAAACCGCACACGGCCGTGGCGCCGCCCTGGTCTTCCCCGGACCGGCATTTTCGACTCCGGAAGCACTTCTATCCACCTTTCGCCAAGAGCGGATCACGCACACACTGTTGGTTCCGACTCTGATCCACGCTTTGATTGCCGCCATGGGAAAGGACCAGCCTCCACTGGAATCACTCATCAGTGTGACCTTTGGCGGAACGATTTTGACCAGGCAGGAGGTGCTTGCGACAACCACTGTTCTCGGAGCTAAAGTTGTCGAAAACGCCTATGGTTGCACCGAAGGCGCACTCACCAGCACTGGCAGTGTGAGCGTTCCTAACACAGGTCGCGACACTTCTTTGTCCGGTTCGGAAGAGATGTCTGTGGGAAAGCCACCGATGGGTCACGGTATCAAAATCGTAGATCCTGTCACAGGCTGTGTCGTCCCACGAAATGTCACAGGAGAGATCCATGGATATGGTCCTATGATAGACCGTGAAGGACAGTCTGGATACATCCAGTGTAAAGAACAGAAGGCATTTTACACTGAAAATGAGACAAGCAGAGTATGGTTTCAGACTGGAGACATGGGAAGAATGGACGAGAACGGAGATCTCTTCATCACCGGACGTTACAAGGACATGTATGTGCTACTATATTGGCGTTGCACACCTCGCCTGTCTTGTTTCGACTAACAGTTGCTTCGCAGGATTATTCGTGGTGGTGAAAACATTTCCCCCGCCGCCATTGAGGCCGTTCTCATGAAGAACTCTGTCCTCCGCCCTCTAATTCCACAAGTGTAAGTTATTAACTTCTAGGCATTTCTAATTCAGTCCTACTTGGTTGTCACAGTCACAGAAAGCGCTGACGCAAGACGTTCTCCAGTGTCGGCATTAAGGACACCATCGCCGGAGAGGTTCCCGCTGTGGTGATCAAAGGTGATCGACAGGCTGCTACGGTCGAAAGGGCAGTTCGAGAAACAGTGCTGCAGAATATGACCATGATGCATGTCCCGGATCTGGTTATCAATCTCAAGGATCTTGACCTAACAGACTTTCCGCGAACGACCTCGGGTAAGATCCAGAAGTTCAAGCTGAAGCAGGCTGTAGCAGTCCATCTGGACAGGCAGGCTACTTCAGGGGCATACAGTACATTGTCCAGGCTTGGAAAGCATGACGAAGAGCAAGTCAAAGTCATCTGGGCGACGGCAATCGGGCTAGGGCATACATCCCAGCTGAACGTTAATATGCCCCTAGGGCAGTACATCGACAGCATCAGTATGATGCGCATCCGCGACAAAATCAGAAAGCAAACGGGTATAGCGCTACCATTGGCAGCCATGGCTCAAGCATCGACTGTTGCGGAGCAGATTGAACTTTTGCGCCGCCTGTCAGCCGACGATAAAACAAAGTCAACGATCACAGACACCAGTGTAGCGCATCTCGGCAAACAGGATAGAAAGATGGCGGCCGCCAATGACAGAATTGCAACACGAAGACCTATTTCAGTAGAAGACTTGGTGGATATCGCACCCGAAGCGACACTTTACGAATGGATTAAAAATCGGGTTCTGGAATCCATTTCGCCATGCGGTTTTGGGTGGGAAGATGTTGAGAACATCTGTCCTGCGTATGACTCAAATGCCGTGCAGGCTCAGTGTGGTTTCTATAATACCATTAACTTCAACATGGCCATCAGTACCAAGATAAAGACCACTAAAAAGGTACGTAGTCGCAATCTATTTCTTACACATAGTTTTCAGGACACTGATAGAACGTTTGTCACTTAGGAACTTCGCATTGCCGTAGAAGCGGCGTTGCTCAATCAACCCATCATGTGCTCGTTCATGGTCTGGTCTGCGGACTGGCGCGGTGTTAATCCTAAGACAAAGGACGCATTCCACGTTATCATGCGCCCTTCGGCAAAGTACCTCGACTTGGCCATCCAAGACGGCGGTGTCGTACGCTGCTTGAAAGATCTTGAGGATATCGCGCTCGGAAATACTGCTGAGGCCCATCGATTTCCAGCACCGCAACAGAACACGTTCCCTGGGCCGCTTTATCGAGTCATGCTCTTCGACGTAGAAGAAACCGGCACTGCGGCGATGGTGACATCCGCCAATCACTCCATCAGTGATCATTCCGCAGGGCAGTTATTCTACGACGACCTCGACCGATCCGTATCGATGGCTGCTTCAGGCGGTTCGACTGCCGCCGGCATCCAAGCACAACTACGAGAGTACAAGGACTACCAGCCCTATTTAGATTTAGGTCACGCTTTGCGCAGCTCTCCGCGGGCTACGGCGGCTGTGAATTGGCATGTCGATCGTCTTGCCTCTCTGCCCAAACATGTTGATGCTGGGGCATTGTGGCCAAGTCCGACATCTTGGATGCAAGTCTCACTGGATGATCATTATCGAGAAAGCCATCAAGTGCAGCACAGCTTTACGATGTCAGCCCTTAGATCAAACCCCCCAAGTTCTATGACCGTATCCACATCCACCATCGTCAAGGCCGCATTGGCGTTGGCAAGCGCGAGTCGAAGTGGCTATACAACGACGAAAGCCGCAACAGGGCGCAAATTCAGGGTAGCCGTATTCTCCAGTGTCGAAGCCGCGAGATTACACTATAACCCCTTTCTTCCCAAGTCCGTCACGGACACCGATATGCCACGCCGCGGCAAGGAGCACGGCAGGTCTCTGCGGTGGGAGGCCGGCGACGTGGCAGGCCCTACAGTGCAAATAGTTTGTAACGTGGTGGAGATACCGAGATGTGGCAGCGAGCCGGAAACAGTCTCCGAATTCCTGCGTAGAATGCAGCGAGAGCAGGAACTTCAGACCAGACACGCGTCCGCACCTTGGCGAGCTATCATGGACAAGCTCGAAGACCCGAACTCCGAGAAGAGGCCTTGGCCGCTACTGCCTCTGGTCCACGGCTCACTTATGTTTAACTGGGCCCCTGGACTCGGTGAGAGCGCGCCCCTGTCGCGGTCTTCCACGGATGATGCAAGGCTCTCACATTTCGAAAATATGGACATGTTGAAGTCGGTGCAAAAACCACGAGTCGGACTCGTGGTTTCTGCGGGCTCTAGTAGTCGTGGCTGTGGATCAGCAGACGAGAGTGCTATGACCACCGTGTTCTTGCATCTCAGGGGAGCTGGACTTGAGTGGAGTTCTGGAGACGGTATGACCTCTTTTGCCAGGGAAATAGAGGCAATGGCTCAATGGTTGTCGGCTAAGGAGAACCAGGGGCTCCTCATTCACAACGCATTCGGTCCTGAGTGAAATGTCGGGAGTCATCACCCATGTACACGATAATATCCACTTGAAGTTTAGTTTTCAATTATCCATATTTGTGGGCCGCTGCAAGAGTTAACTGAGTCGAACTTGTCAAGTCGATGCACAAAAGCCATGCCGGCCAGTACTTTATTCAGGCCTTTGGAGCATGAAGTCCCTAGCCACAAACGACAGGAAACATCTGAAGCAGGTAACAAGGATCAATCAAGTGTTAACGCTGCTGAAAGGCATCAAGTGCGAGACTCCTGGAATTTGTCCCCTGACAGCCATTGGTTTGGCCACTAATGGTAACAACGGAGTAGCAACTAACGTACGACAGGGTTGATTGTGAGGTTCTTGGATTGTATTGCAATGTTTTCTACTTGGCTCTACCCAGCATGATGCGAATGTATCATTTCATTTTAATTGGTTCAACGATCTCAGCCCCACTAACGAGGGACCCTGTATTTCTACTCTACTTCGATTCCATCCGAATCTCTCTTAAGTTGACGCTCAGTCGTCCTCAACAATCAACTCCCTCTCCGGGTTAAGAGTGGGCGGGAATAGCTGGGGCACCTTGTTGACCCACATCTGCGATCCTGCCTGGGTGGCATGCGCTTCAAAAGCTGCGCATCGAATGAGAGAATCGACTGCGGCAGGCGGGTTGTAGCTTTCCTCGTTGTACCTGTTCAAGGTATAGTCGTCGAATACAATGGTGCCTCCAACCTCGAGCATGCCCCAGGCGAGAACAGCGTCGTGCAAGACATCAAGAGCGACGTGAGATCCGTCGATGTAGATGAAGTCAAAACGAGCACCTTGGTGCTTCAGTGTTGGGAGAGCGTCAAGGCTGGACCGTTTGATAACGGTAAGCTTGTCGACGTGGCGGCATTTCGCGACGTTGGATCGGAAGCGCTTCTCCAAAGAGGGAATGTCGTAAGCCTCAAATTCTTTGTATGTGTCATTCTGAAACTCCATGCTTCCACCGAAGGTATCCACGGCGATAAATGTCGACTCCGGGTGATCCATGAGGTTGTCGAGGATCCACGTCGCGGAACCGCCCTCGAAGGAGCCAACTTCCAAAATCCTCAACTTTTTACTGCGGATAGAGCCGGTGCGCTGTTCCCAATGCTCGATCGTCCTGTCAAACCATCGATGCTGGAAGTTGAATCTGCTCCGATCCGCCTGCTGAGTAGCAGTAATGGTTGTGGTCGACATGTTGAAGAGGTTGTTTGTCCAGAAAGAGACAGAATAATGGGATACGAGACAAGATCTGCTATGAGGTTGACAAGTTGAATAGAAGAACTGAAGGGTGACAGACTAGTCTCATACACAGTGACTTCATCGTCGAAGATTGCTTAATATATCGAAATTCGCCCATCGACTTCAACTGAAGCCCTGCTACCGCTAGTGAGTCGTTCTCTGGGTATTCCGCTAAGTCAAGGGTCCAACGATTCGTCCTATTCTTTCGCATCTTGTATTCATATATTTAGAGTTTATTAGTCTCCACTTCGGGTTCAAGTGCCGGTACGACCTGCACTACTCCGTCGATGTTAGAACTGAATCGTGCATAGCTTCCTGAAGACATTGATTGGGAGCTATGGGATAGAGACAATATGTTCAGAACCTGGCAAACATATCCATTGTTTGGAGGAGAATATCCAGCATGAAATCCTCCGCGTCTCTCCAATGCAACCTATGTACAATCAGACTTCCACAACTCCAGTAGTAGCAGTTGAAGCCCTGCCCGGACTCTCCAAAGTGCAGCCTAGGGGTAGTGCGGTGTGACAAGATGCAGCTTATGGAAACTGGCCCAAAACGACACCGAACTCCCGAGTCCCATTCTCACTCTTTCCATGACTCATTTACTCACCGCCTGGTTGTCGAATGGTGACGCGGAAACTCTACTTAATTGCACCTTTAGGTTAAGTCCGCGGGCTGCGTTTTTGTTTCGATACCTTGCGGACAATTCGGATTAGCATCTCAGCTCAGTCTCATAGTACGGTCTTTCTACATGTAGCCTTTTACACGGAATGATCTTCGATGTGGGGACCTATGGAGATTAAAGACAGCGTTTGCCGCTCGAGTTCCTGTTGGAGAGAGTTGACAAGCACTGTTGAAGTGGAAAACGTTGATATGACAGAATCATTGACAGTGACGCCGGCCATGGAGGGGCTCCGGCACCATCTCTCATGTCTCATCCCGACGTTTCTCAAGTGCATCAATTACACCCAACCTGCGAAGCAGAGTAAAGACGTCCTCCGAGAGGCCGTTCTCTCGAGAGGTCGCAAGGCGGGCGTACACGTCAATCGGGACGATGGCTCGATGATGAGATTCGAGGCCGGCTTGGCTGTAGCTGCGGTATGTTAATTACACGTCACAAATTTTCGCTGCCTAACTAAGAAACATAAGGTAATCAAGCTAATGTTCTGCGCAGGAGATGTACCCCCTTCACCCTTTCGATATTCAGGTTCACATCGGCTTCTTCACCTGGCTTGGATTCATCATTGATGACCTCAACGCCGAGCTAGGCCCAAACTTGGCAAACTTCCAGTCACGATTCTCACGAGGAGATCCGCAGCCCTGCAACGTCCTAGAGTGCTTTGCCGACGTCCTGAGGTCGACAATAGACTACTATGATCCCGTTGTTGCTAATCTGATCGTACTGTCCGCGCTAGCTTTTGTCAACTCCAACGCCATCGAGATTCGCCGAGACTATCAGACCATTGTCCCTTCGATGGAGGCTCCCAGCTGGCCCTACTATTTCCGGGAAAAGGAGGGTCTTCCTGAAGTTTACACATACTTTTGCTTCTACAGAGACATATGCCCTGATATATCGCGCTTCATGCCGGCGGCGCCAGAGATGGGGAAGTTTATCAACTTAACGAACGACATATTATCGTACGTGATGTTGTCAAGTCGCATTGCAGCAAATGCTAACACGAGAAACATAGGTTTTATAAGGAGGAGAAGGCCGGAGAGATCAGAAATTACATACACAAGAGCGCACTCAGTTCCGGTCGTAGTCCTCTCGAAGTACTAGAATCAGCGATTTCGGAAAGTGCGCTTGCTTACAGCCGAACCGAAGCAATCTTGAGGGATAGTCGTCCTTATGATGAGTTGTGGCATGCCTATGCAATGGGATATATAGCGATGCACTTCAATACCCGTCGATACTACCTTTCAGAAATAACATTGTAGAAATAGTTTCTCTCTTTCCATCATTGGACGTTGCTTCCCTCCCGTGATGAAAAACGGGCACGAACCAAACACGCGCACCTAGATGGCCAAATCCAGTGTTACCACCGCGTCCAAGTGACTAGATGTTTGATCTCGATACCGACCTCAAGACGCTTTGCTCCGTTGCAAACTCTTCTAACACAGCCCCTGCGAAAGGGACACTAACAGTGTGACAGCCTCGGATCCTCATACAACATCTTCTGAGCTGCGAGGTATGAAACAGTGAAGGTGTCGACTCCCGTAAAGCTAAGACAACCCCAAGTCTTCATCTTCCACGCCGTCTCTAGAAGGGTTGCAGATGACTTCGTTCTACGTCATAATCAAGCTTTTCATGTGTCCAGCTGAAGATTTCAATAAGGCATGGCAGCATGGCACATTGGTACATAGACGCCACGAAGCGGGGAATCTGTCTCCCCGTCTGACCAGCTAGAGTAGCTTCTTTCAAGGAGTGCCGGGACAGGCACGACAGGGTCCAAGACGAATCAAGGGACCAGCTTAGAAAGTGTCTTATAAAAGTGTCTCACAATGCCAAGTTCGCTTCCCCAGCTAAGTGACAGATGACGCCATCCCATAGGGCTCGAGATCTGCAGGATCTTCAAGGGATTTCAAGACTTGTTTCTTATGTGCGTACTTTGCGCTATGGGGTCTGGATAGACTGGAAGTGCCAGCAAAGACGGAGTCCAAGGAAAGTAAGAACCAAATCAGCCCTCATGATATTTTCGCAGACTCAACCGAGTTCTGTTCCTCAAGTTGGCCATCGACGCCGGGGAGCAGTATTCGTGCTGACTATGATGAGTGTGGCCTGATGAAGATCAGCCTATCTTTACGTCCAAGATCCTGCCTTTGCCCTTCATATCGACCTCCACCTAGCACCATGGGTAATGTTTGGTCTCATGTTCGTTTCTGCCCCATTATCATAGGCTAGTGAGACCTTAGTTTCGGCCGCTAAGGTAGCTCTATAGGGCCATCCCGCTGCATCCCTGCAGGGAAACAACAGTGCGAATGGCTAATCATTTGGAACTACCTTAATCAATGATGGCTGAGGCGAACCCCGGACTAGACGCCACCAAACAGGTCAGAGGTAGTTCCAAAAATGGACACATCTCGATGAGACGAGCGTTATATCGGCTTTCAATCCATCAGATGTAAGGCTCAGTGACGAGTGCCAAGCTTCATGGTCAGCTCGGGATGCTGCAATGGCGTGCACATACCTTCAGCTACGGCTGCCTTGCTGATGTCCTGTGTCGCATAAGCTCGGGCAAACTCATGGAAGGGAAAAAGCTGCTGTAAGAAGCAAGAAAAGTATCAACATCGAAGTATATAAACCCAGGGCTTCACGGTCTGTGACAGCCATGATAGAATCAGCAACACAACAAAACATTTCTAGAGCATAGTCTCCCAGAGTCGATTCTTTCAAAATTCATCATGAGATACCAATCTCTCTTCGTCTCCTCCATCTCAGTGCAGGTCGCACTGGCGGCGCTCAATGAGCCCTGCTATGGCTCTGGTGGTAGAGCCGGTATGATGACTTCACCTTTGCCTGGATGAAAGACTTTTGACTGATATTTCTCTCAGGTGTCTGCGTAACTACAAGTTCGTGCTCTTCGAACGGAGGTACAACGATTGACGGCGCTTGTCCGGCCGATGCTTCCAACATTAAGTGCTGCACCAAAGCTTCCTGCGGAAGTGGGGGCAATTGTCGTTGGACAAGCGACTGTGCAGGAACATCTGCTTCCAATCAGTGTCCAGGACCAAGTGGCTTCAAATGCTGCTCCTCCACTGCTACCGGATTCGGTGTCTACGGCGACCCAACTGTTCCATCTGTCGGTGCCTGTAAGCAAGTTGCAGTCAGCGGCGCAAAGAAGATTGTCGCAGCATTTCCCGGGAGGGTCAGGCAAATCTACTGCACTCGCGACTGCACATGCCCTGGCGACTCGGATCATTGCTGCGGCAAAGCGACAGACATAATGTGCTCTGATGCTGGTGGTGTGAGTCAAGCTCGCGTTGATTATTTGCCTCAACGTCGCGACTAATCCCTCTGCAGGTCCCCACTATCTCTGGCAAGGAGATTGCTGAGTGGGTTATGAACAACCGTGAGACGCTCGACCTCAAGTACGTTATTTGGGGTCAGAAGATCTGGAATCCTTCTCAAGACTCGGTCAAGTCTTGGTCCAGTTGGCGAAGTATGGATGATCGCGGCGACTTTACCGCGAATCACTGGTGAGTTTAGGTGCTAAAGGAAGACCCAGAAATCCGTGCTCATCAATTTGGCAGGGACCATATTCATGTAAGCTACGACTAGGTGCGAGGGGAATACTTCGCGACATTATGTTCGTGGGAAAATCTAAGAATTTGGAACAAGCTTGTGGGAGCAGGGCAAGAATCCCCCAGTGTAGTAATGGATGGAGAAATGCGGTCTGAATGATGATCCTGCAGGCGGCACATTCAAGTTTGCGCATGCCAAGGTCTGTTGTTGTGCCCTTTGCTCGGGTCACGTACCCTGTAGGTAGCCGTCGAGGCATAAGCCCTGGCCTTATTAGATTGACCTTATGCCTCGCGAGCCGCAATGTTTGGACTTAGGAGTGCAGAAAATACTTCGGGATGATCCCACCTCATTTTGAAAAAAGTATGTTGTGACAATTGAAGTGCCTAAGTTGAGAGAATTTCCTTCCCAACATAGAATAGGTTTTGCCCTGAACCAAACTAACAAAGGACAGTTACCAGCCGCGGCATGACACGATATGCACCTGATATTGATCAGGGGTTCACCGGCTGTCTTTCCACTTCAATCCGATAGGACCTCCGGAAATGATAATCTTTCCATGCGGGGAACCCACAAAAATCGCATTAGGAGATGCGGCCGGAACCGACATGCATGATTGTCCCCGGCCGAGGAGAGGGGTAACATGAGTCAAAGCATTCACAAAATTCTGATAAATCATTGCGATTAGATCTGTAATATCGTGGTTGCTTCAATGTCTCTCATTCTTTGCCAAACGTATGATCTGTAATACAGGCTACAACCTCGTTTTCAATCAGGTCAGCAGAAACCCAAGACCGTGGAACTCAATGAGATCAATCCCAATCCCGGCTGTGATGACGACACCCTCAAGCCAAAATCTGTTCTCTATAAGGTCGTTCGCCTGTGGGGAGAAGCTGCCGCAACTTTGGGGAGACCTTTCCAAGACATCAAAGGTTTGAAAGATGTTCTGGTCGAAGTAGGGGTCAAAGACGTCCACATTCAAAGATTCAAATGGCTAAGTAGTCCTTGGCCAAAAGATAAGAAGCATCGTGAGCTAGGGTACTGAAATTACGACAATTTTGCGGCTGGTCTGGAAGGCTTTGTCATGGCACCCTTCACAAGAGCACACAATTGGACACCCCAAGAGGTGACAGTGCTGTGTATGGAAGTGCGGAAGGAAATGAACAACCCGAACGTTCATTCCTACTCTTCCATGTAAGCTTACATGACCAAGCCCGGTTGACGTCGCACTACTGACGAGATCTAGTTGGTCGATCTACGCAAGAAAGCCGGAGGCAGCGACCCCGGATCATTGAGTCAGGGAAGAAAGAGCCTTGGCCTCAGATGTTGAATATCCGATATCATGGCAACACAATATTCCCCAAGAGGGTCGTTCAGTCCACGTAAGTCATGATCTAGCTGTGGATCCTTACGTTGCGGCTTGACTTCGCCGAGATGCAGGGTCGAGAAGTCACTTCACTGATACACGCGTTGAGTTGCTATAGACAATTGGTTGCTCAGCCTAGTTGGGACATGAAGAAGTACATTCAGGTTGTTTCATACCGGTTCAAAGAATATATTCGAGGGTACTATGTTTTTCATTCATCGAAAGACGGGGTTCTTGAGATGTTTCTGAAATGTATGGACAGAAAAGTGCGTGGGGGCTAGAACGCTTCTCGACATGGGAACCATAGGCCCTTATTGTTTCTCATTGTTGTGAAGATGGACCAGCGATTCTTCTTATTTATCTATATCAAGGCGTGTGAAGTCTCTCCTTGCACCCAGACGCTCTCATAGTAAGCGGTTATGCGTTCTACTTACGGGGCATTTACGTGCCCCATATGGAAAGGGCCGCAGGGTGCCACTTAGCAGTATTGGCCCGCCTAATCCACACGAGGCACATGCTTAGGCATCATTTGCCGACTTTCCGCTCCAATATAATAGGTTTGCATGCGAGATGTAACCGGGATGAAAGATTACTGGTAGTTTTCTTCATCAGGAAGTACAACCGCCATCTCCGGCATGGTCGCCACAGACGTGCGTGAGTATCACATCGCAGGAGTGGGGTAGCCTACCATCGAACGATGGGTTTGCAAGTGATAGAACCAACAGAGACCGGTCGCTGCGTTCAATCTGATGCAAAAGCTTGAAGAGGGCGGAAACGCAGCCGTACATAATTACGTATCTCCCAACTTCGCCTAGACGAACTGAGGAGAGACTTGTCATTTCACTGAACCTTTAGTTGTCGTGTACCATGTCCGACATTGACCAAACACGCAACGCTGGGCAAAGCCCAAAATCGGCTGCGTCCCGAGGCACTTCACCTCACAACGCAAACAATGTCACAACGCAAATCACGCCAGCACTAGATGCTGAAGAGGTAACAACACTATTTACCACCTTTGACTAGATTTAATTGCCTAACGAAGTTGTCCATTGAAAAGCTCAGCGGAGATGACCTTTCTGTCAGAGGCGAGGTAAGTGCTAGTTCCTTCCTTCTTCCCTATATCAACCGAATGGTGGAAAACCACGAGCCAGTCTACTAAGAACTTCAAAATCTAGAGCGTCGCATCATCAAGCACCAGTGTGACCAGCTCCGTTCTCCAGTATCGGACAGAGAATGGGCGAACATACCATGGCTATAAAGATGGCAGTAGGTTGTCTCTCCTCATTGTGAATGAGCAAAAGCTAAGTGTAGACAAGAATATCTCATGCCCAACGATGACAGGGAAAACGAACGATTGGGTATGGATGTCTTGCTTGCTTACGAATTTTCAACTCGCAATCATTAATAGTCTAACAGATATTCAACATAATATGTTCATCCTCACCTTCGACAACCAATTGGGACGTGCCCCAGTGAACGCGAAAGACACCAGTATCAAGGTCGGTCGGGTACTTGATGTTGGTACAGGGACCGGTATTTGGGCAATGGACTTTGCAGATGAACATGCAGAGTCAGAGGTAATTAGAAAAATTGCTGAACAAATATTTCAAATACTAACCTATTTCTATCTAAGGTCCTTGGTGTTGACCTTTCACCCATTCAATCAGCATGGTAAGCTCCACCCGGTTCAATCCTGAAACCAGCGTTGTTGACAATTCTATAGCGTTCCTCCCAATGTGACATTCGAGATTGACGATATCGAGGAGCCGTGGACTTTCTCGCAACCCTTCGATTACATTCACAGTCGCTTAATGACATCAACCATTGGTAATTGGCAGGAGTATATCCAGAAATGTTTCGAGTAAGTTGCAAGCATAGCTTGACCAACTGAATTTACGCTGATCATGCCACCACCGAAGCAACCTGAACCCTAACGGATATCTTGAGCTCAATGAGGTCGACCTGTACTGCAAGTCAGATGATGGTACACTTGCCGACGATGCCGCCCTAAATAGGTTCTCGAAGCTGTGGGGCGAAGCGGCTGTCATGTTTGGGCATGCATTCCAGGACAACACCACTCTGAAAGACCTCATGGCCGACGCCGGGTTTGTAGACATTAACGTGAAGGTATTCAAGTGGCCTTCCAACCCGTGGCCTCGGGACAGGAAACACAAAGAGCTTGGGTATTGGAACCTCGATAACTCTGTTGCTGGGCTCGAAGGTTTCATGCTAGGTGCGTTAACGAGAGCCCATAACTGGACCAAAGAAGAGGTTACAGTCTTTGCAATGGAAGTCCGAAACGAGATGAAGAACCCGCGCATTCACTCGTACCAGACTTTGTAAGTGGCACTTCCATTAGTTACAAGTAAGTTGGCTAATTCTCGGGTCAGTTGGTCTATCTGCGGTAGAAAGCCTACTGCGGAGGAAGTTGCGGCCAATTAATCTAGCAACGTTCCATTGAGATTTGAGCTGATATTGAGGATGTGGTTGGTATGCAATGTGGCTTAGCGACGGAATATCATCCAAGACATGGTTGAAGCAGAGTAGCCATCATGCATGTTCATCAACTTCAAAGTCTGCGCCGGACGTGCGTGCTCACATGTTAGCTACACAGTAAGAACACCGAGTTTTCAGCCAGGAAAGTTTGAATCTTGCAATTGGATCCCACCTCTTGTTAACTTTGATCATCTACCTGCCCCCAATTCCAAGGACTGCGCTACTTTAAGAGTATTTCCCGGTCAGAAGTTTTGATAGTTGAAGCATGCGCCGCACCTGCAAGGACCCAATCGTCAGATACCTTGATCCAGCCGCGGGCAACCTGAGGATAGTGTTGGTTGGTAGATTTGACTAGGACCGTAAATCCATAGATCCACTTCTGGGGTCTTATACGTGAATCATATCATCTTTCGGGGGGGTTCCTGCTCGGAAATGGCGTTGGATGGGACGCTCGCCGCAAACATGCATGCCAGTCTCCAGCCAAGAAGAGGGGTAACAACACATCCTAGTCAATCACTGCAAGAGATATTATATTTGACAGAGCTACTGTCGAGTCTCGTTCTTATTTATTTCTAATTCAGATAACTTTGTCACTTGGCCGCTGGTCGCCTGCAGACGCGACTGTCTCGATCCACCGGGATCACCCCCACGTCAGCACACCCGCGTCCTCGCCTGTGAGAACAACACTACCAACGATGTGCACGGCAGATATCGCGGGCAGGAGCCCGCCACGTGGTGATGGCGGAAATCAAGGCAATATCGCTATAGAAGACCGCGATAACATTGCTGCCGACGAGGTAATACTTCACAAATAGGAAGCGTAGAGCGTACTGAGATGTATATTTCTTCAGATCACGGACGATGATGATTCCGTTACCAGCGTTTGTTGCCTGCTCTGATCCGCCCTGGATAGGCGATATATGGAACCATCGATTGACTTCTCTTCTAGCAAAGTGTTGCTTCATCTAGCACAAGCCTGTCGAGCTCGATATTTGATTACCGCTTAGAAAATGGCAGGACTTATCACAAGTACAAAGACGGGAGTGAGTTTTTCTAGCGGAACTTTCCGAGTGGGAGCACTAAACTCGGGCAGAATATTATGTCCCTAATGACGAGAGAGAAAACGATCGACTTGGTTTGTGCAACCTGGCGCTATTCTCTCCGGTGTCTCCCGCCGCTGGGTGCATCAATAGACCTGCCACGTTAACATTAGATCCGGCAACTAGACCTACAACATAATATGTTCATCAGAACTTTCGGCAATCGACTGGGCACAGCGCCTCCCAATGATCCCGGATCCAAAGTTGGCCGAGTATTGGATGTCGGCACAGGAACAGGAATTTGGGCGATGGAGTTCGGAGATGAACACCCTGAAGCTGAGGTTCGACACTGCATAGTCCTCTACGACTTACGAGTGTGGTAAATCTTTTGCGCTTTCTTAACATTGATATCATAGGTCCTCGGCATTGATTTGTCTCCTGCCCAACCAGAGTTGTGAGTTAGGTCGAAATGTTCCTCGAAAGCCAGAGACCATAGTTTACTAACGCTCCTTTAGTGTACCTCCGAATGTCCGCTTTGAGATCGACGATTTAGAGGAGCGCTGGACGTATTCTCGGCCTTTTGACTACATCCATAGCCGTGTACTCGACTCTTGCATCAATGATTGGAAAGCATACTTCCAACAAAGTTTCGAGTACTGTTGTCCATAAACCTCGTTAACTTTGAGTAAGATGATTGTGTCTGACCTCAACTCTTCAATAGTCATCTGAACCCAGGCGGTTATCTCGAAATCCAGGAAATCGACGCCGAGCCCCGATCTGACGACGACACCTTAAAAGACGATTCATCCCTGATGAAGAGTCTGCGGCTACTGAAGGAGGCGGCAGAATTCTTCCAGCGCCCCTTCAAAGATATTAAGTCACTGGCTGATATCATGGCCGAGGTCGGCTTTGAGGATATCCACTTGGAACGATATAAGTGGCCCTCGAATTCATGGCCAAAGGACAGGAATTACAAAGATCTCGGCATGTGGACCTATGAGAATCTGGCTATGAATTGGGAGGCATTTCTTATGGCACCTTTGACTCGGGCTCTGAGTTGGACAAAAGAAGAGGTGATGGTACTTGCTATGGAAGCACGGAGAGATCTTGGTGACAAAAGTATCCATGCCTACTTCACAGTGTAAGAAGAATGCCCCATTGACGGCGCCTATTGACGAGCTCTCTCTCGATACTGATCTGATATTCTACAGTTGGGCAATCCATGGTCGAAAGCCAATGAAGGCCAAGTGGACTGAAGAAGCAACCACTGGTTGAGCCCTGGCTTCCAGCTTGCGAGACTGAGGTGGTGCTAGATCTGATCGAAAAGACATTCATGAATACGTCAGTTGATTTTTTGCCTAATAATAACCCTCAAACGTATCTTCATGATGTTTTGCCACCTGTGAGACAGCTTCTTTGATCGTTGGGCTGTCCTCTTTGGGCCCCAACACATCAAATGCCAGCCCGTAGGTCTTCTCATTCTGAATCGCCGCGTAGACGACCTTGGCGACATCTTCTCTGGGAATCATGCCGACGGTACCAACCTTTCCTGCCCGTGCCTTTCCGGTGCTAGGTTCCTCAGTCAAGCCACCAGGTCTCACAATGGTGTAGTTAAGCTTGCGAGCCGCATTCCCCACCCTCAACTCCGTGTCGGCCGCTAGCTTAGCCCGGAGAATGGGACCGATGATACCCCACATGCGGTCGCTGAGCTTCTCATCGGCATCGGTATACCAGTCCGGGACGGGCTTGCTGTCTCGGTCGCGGACGTCGAGGGCGCTGACGACGATGTAGCGTTTGGCGACCACGTTGGCTTTGGCCAGGGCATCCATGGCGCGAATGGCTCCATCCCGGTCAACAGCCTCAGCGGACTTGGGGTCCTTGCCGCCAGCTGCCCACACCACAACGTCGGGCCGGGTGCCTTCAATGATTTTAATGAAGTCGACCTCGGAAGCTGTAGAGATGTCTTGGACAATTGGCTTTGCGCCGATTGCTTCCAAGTCCGGAATTTGTTCCGGATTGCGGATAACGCTGAAGATGGTGTGAGGGGTATCGGCGTCCCGAAGGATTGCTGTCAGTTGACGGGCGGTTTTGCCATTGCCCCCAAATATAAGGGTCGTCGGCATGTGAAGGATTGAAGCGTCGCCCATATTGACTCGTTATGTTTACACACGTAGTATTTAAGCTGAAATATAAGGAGAGGTGATAAAGGTACCGGGAGATATGTCGGACTCTCAATGGAAGCTCCGAAAGCGCCGAAGCGTTAGCTCCTTAATTGACTTCGATGACGGCATAATCCCGACAGGCACTGGAACGGAAGAAGTCCAGAGCCGGGAGGAAAGGTTTCGGGCAGCTGTTTTTCCGTCACCCTCACACTGGACGCGACTTGGTCAGCGCCAAGTTACACAGTCTCACAGCACATTTCACCCCTGAGCCAAGGTGACTTTGTTCACTGAGGAGACGTTCAGCAGTTAAGTTAGGTTCTCTGCCAACCTCATTAATAGCCCCGAAATTGTGTGGACAAAGTGGGTAACTTCCGCACCAGAAGGCATCCCCTAACTGTTCAAACGTTCAGCCACAACAGCTTTGTCTACCCTATTTTGCCAGCCTTCGGCTTTTGCACAGCTAGGTACATGTCTCGAAAGAACTGCTTCCTCAGATGGCCTTGTCGGATGATACCTCGGATTCCTCTTGCTATGATACCGGCCGAGTTCCATGTCGGGTGATCCGGATCTGGTAGGGCGTCCGCCCCTGCAGCGTCTTTACACGAACAAGCAACAGCACGCTGCGACGGTGCGCTGATCGTCGCCCACGTCGCTCGTATTTCAGGCTGTGTGCTAGGTAATTACAGCTGCCTTATTGGGCAGGAGACTATTCCCCACGATGCATTGGGGATAAGCTAGGGAGGCCTAGTCTCGGGAAATGAACTAGTCCAGCACTTAACTTCAAGCATATCTGGGCATGGTCCACAACGGTAGGAACTGATGGGATGATGGGACCTCACTATCGGCATTGGAAAGAACCGGAATAACTTGGTGGGAAAGGGGAATACGAGATCTTGTCCCTCCAAACGCCCAAATGTCTCCGTCCCATCACTGCAGGGTCCAAGGGTCGCCCCGTCCAACGTCGCATTGCCGAAATGGAAGAGCTTTTCTGGAAACCCATAAAGCGAATGAGGGCTGGCACGATGTCAGATGAACTGAATGTTTGGTCGCGCAACTGCCTTTCGTCCCAGTCGTTCGCTATTATCGGCCTGCACTCATCATGAAGCAGAGCATTTTTTCCACGCTCGCTCTAGCGTCCATCGCCGCGACAGAGTATGTTTGGCCTTCTCAGTACGATGAGCTCGAGGATCACCTCTCTCTGCAGTCCGGATACCTTCGCAGGGGCTTCATCGATGGTCAGTTGTCTCTCTACCACCGACTATCGACTAACTACTGACAACTCATTAGGTGTCATTACGTGTGGCTTCGGCACAAGCATCCCCGGCCGTCAGAACTCTGCTGAATGGATCCGCGCCGCTTTCCACGACATGGCCACGCACGATGCTGCCGCCGGTACCGGTGGTTTAGACGCGTCCATCTTCTTCGAGTTGGATCGCCCGGAAAATATTGGAGGCGCCTTCAACAACACGTTTGGATTCTTTAGCAGCTTTCACTCCATTCGCGCCTCTGCTTCTGATCTGTTGGCCATGAGTGTCCTCGTCGCCAGCTTTGCGTGCGGCGGTATCCAAATCCCGTTTCGTGCCGGCCGTATTGACGCCCAAGAAGCCGGCCCTGCCGGTGTCCCTGAGCCTCAGACCGATCTCAACACTACCCAGCTGGCTTTCACCAAGGCAGGCTTCTCTCAGAGCGACATGATTGCCATGGTGGCATGCGGTCATACTCTGGGAGGCGTGCACAGCATGGACTTCCCTGAGATCGTCGGTGTCGCGGCGGACCCCAACAACGATACCGTAGCCCACTTTGACACCGAATTTGCCAAGTTCGACAACGTCGTCGTGACCGAATATTTGGATGGCACAACCAAGAACCCTCTGGTTGTTGGCACAAACGACACCCTCAACTCAGACAAGCGTATCTTTGCTGCAGATGGAAACAAGACGATGCAAGCCATGGCCGACCCTAATGCTTTCCAGACTACCTGCGCTGACATCTTCAGTCGCATGATTGATACCGTCCCTGCCAACGTTAAACTCAGCGACCCCATCGTAGCCACAGATATTAAGCCCTACATCAGCGGGCTCTTCCTCAAAGACGATGGCAGCCTGTCGTTTGGCGGCCGCATTCGCATCCGCACCACCGCAGTCACTGGCCGAGACCCCAATGATCTCTCGGTCCAGCTGACGTACGCTGACCGCAACGGCAACGGATCGAACGTTATCACTACCCGCAAGGCAACCTTTCAGGGTGGAAGTGCCTCTGGCTTGTGGAGGGAGAGCTTCCACTGGTGGGAGTTTGACACCACAATCAGCCCTGACACGGGCATCAGCAAGTTCTACATCCACGTTACGAAGCCGTCATCCAACGAGACTATCACGTACGACAATGCTGGCAACGGATATCCTATGAGTGATGTCCTCCTGTATCAGCAGTCTAAATCTTGCATCGGAAATGTGGCGGATGGCAAGCTGCCGGTCACGGTCAAAGCTCTTGTTCGCAAGGACCGTGTACCCGCCACCGCTGATGGCCTAACTATGGATTTGGTTCATGAGGTCCGTAGGCAGGGAGTGATTGTTCCCAGACTGGACGTTGAGAAGATCAACTTCCAAGCTACTGGAGAGGACCAAGGCCAGTGGTCCGTCTATACAGCCAGTGGAAGTGTCGATGCTGATGGATGGAACACCAGTTTTGATATCAAGTTGGGTGGCGAGCAGTCAGTCGAAGTTGCGTTTCAGAAGACAGGAGCTTTGAGCTCTTGCAGCTAGACATAAGTAGTATCCGTAATGGTAATGAAATTTAGATGCCCAGTTTTGGGTGCAGTGCAACGATGAAACAACTCCTAGCTCACCCACCATTTCTCATGGTAGCTTCTAAGGTCAATATCACCACTTAAAGCGCCTTTCTCCAACCAAGGAGTAAGATCTAGTTCCACCCCAGCGTCGCCGTGAGCAGCCGCAACATCCTTCTTGGTCCAGCCATTCCCCAGCCACCCAAACCTGTTTCCCTGGGGGTTCTGATAGGTGTACTCAAAGTCCTCCCACCTCGGATCCTTTCTAACCAGGTCAACATGAGCAGCACTGCCGGGCCAGAGGCCATGGATTCTCCCGCCCTTGATCCCACCATTGTACCAAGAGCTGCAGTGCTCGCTCATGACAGTCCGCGGGAAGAAGGCTTCAGTGTAGGCTCGGAAATCACGAGTTGCAGCTGTTGTCGGAGCTATGGTCCGCAGGCCTTGAGTCGCAAATTTGCGAAGTATCTTGGCAACGTATGTGAGCTGGTTCTCTACCGCATGACACAGCGTTCCGGCTGGTCCTGTGGCGTTTGGTCCAAGTACAGTGATGAAGTTCGGAACCTCGGGAGCAAGCATTCCCAAGTAAGTGTCAGGGAATCCTGGTTTGCCGCCAGGTCTCCAAGCCCTCTGGAGATCAAGTCCTTTGTAAACGACAGGGAACTGCGTACTGAATGTAATGTCGTGACCTGTACTGCATATGACTGCGTCAACTTCGCGAAGAGTGTCTAATCACCGAGTCAGTCAAAGATGCTCCATAGATCAGCAGAAATTGAAACCCACCATCCACAGTCCGAATGCCGGTTTCAGTGAACTCTGAGATCCGGTCGGTGATGTAGTTGACATTTTCCGCAGTTAGCGCCTCGAGATAGCCAGGTCCAGGTGTCAGCCGACGACAGCCTATTGGGAATTCAGGTATAATCTCATCAGCAAGCTTGGAATCCGCCCCCAGTCGTACTCTCATAAGCTCTTTGATGTAATCTTCGGCCGCTGCATTCTGAGGTCCGTCTTTGAAGATTCCGCCGAAGCGGCTGAAAAGCTTTGCCTCTAGAGCCTTCCGAAATTTAAGATACTTCTCCACGTCTGTCCGGGCGTCTCCAATGTTTTCTGCAACAAAGTCTGCCAGATCTTCTCCTCCGATTGGTGCTGCAACCCATGTTTTGTTGCGGGCATAATGATCAACTCTTGCAGCGATCTTTTGCAGTTGCGGGAGCACTTGTAATCCGGAAGCGCCATTTCCAATGACTGCGATCCGCTTTCCTTTCGGGTCGAACTCAGGGTCCCAATTCGAGGTATGTCGTAGGTGGCCCTCAAACTTATCGATTCCTGGATACTGAGGAAGCTTTGGGTCGCTGAAGTGGCCCGTGGCAGTAATCAAGAAGTTGGCTTCGTCAGTGACTACACCATCGTTTGTTTGAACTTTGACGATCCATCTGGCCTTTTCCTCAGACCATTCCGCAGATGTGACGCTATGCCTGAAGCGGATATACTTGCGCACGTCGTACTTGTCCGCAATATCTTGCCAGTAAGACTGAATCTCAGAGCCGGTGGCATACGCCTCGGTCCAATCTGTCGATGGAGCAAACGTAGCCTGGTAAGCGTGAGCGGGTACATCGCACCGAACACCAGGGTAGATGTTGGTATGCCAGACGCCTCCCTTCGTTGCCTCGTGTATCAGTGACTAGTGCTTCTTGATACCATTCTCCTTCAACTTACAAGATCGTCGTTTCTCTCGTAGATTATGAGATCTAGGTTGGGAACCTTCGCGGGAAGTAGAATGGCAGCGGTGATGCCAGAAATGCCGGCACCCACAACGATAGCTCGGACACTTTGATGTTCATCAATGGGATGCTCTTCTATTAAGAAATGAGGGTTAATGGTTCGAAGAATATTGTTGTCAGCCGCTGGAAGGGAACTTGCGCCATCGATAGACGGGTCTAGTATCGCGCCTGGCGCCATGATTGATCACTCTGACAAAAACGAGACGACAATGCTTAACACTTCTCTAAGTATGGATTGCGATTGAGTTTCTATCTTCATTATCGTCGATTACCGGCGTATCACATGGATGACGCAACTATCACGGTTGCTTGCAAATACCCCCTGTTCCCGATGCAATAGGATTGTGCATGCAGCGTGCTGCAGACACTTGGAAACAAATTTCCTTCGCATGTGTTTTGAGGGGAAGGAAGACTCGATTGGTTCCAGACAAGCATACAATCAAGGATGCATCAATTCTCCATGATACGCCATACGCTATCTAGCTTGCGAATTTACTAAATCTCGGGCTTGTCCGGGTTTTAATTCTGATAAGACATTGCGAAACTCGAACATCCGTACTTACTGCCGAAATCGGCTCGGACGAATTGCGTGATCCTTCAAGACCAAGTGCGCAATGAGTTATCAATGGAAATTTGCTCTCTTCCGCCGATGGCAAGTTGACAACAGACGCAGCACCGGCCCATTTCCGCCAACGAGTTGGACTCAGCGCAGAACGAGCTTACCCCGCCAAGATGGAACCTTCTGCCAGGCGGCAAATTATACTCAACGCATTTGACATGTTCACTCCGAGCCATCTCTGCTTCGGTCAGTGGCGCAGGGGCGAAGATGAAGTCGCCGACAAATTTAGAGATCTCAGTTACTGGACCAATCTCGCGCAGACACTTGAGCGGGGAGACATTCACGCTTTGATTCTGGCTGATACTTATGGTCAACACGATATCTACAATGGAAGCGCTGGACCAACGATACGGACAAGTTGTCAGTTCCCGATGGGCGACCCCGTTATCGTAAGTGACAAATGTAACATTTGTACCGATGGCCATGCATTGACATTAGGAGTAGCCGGTGACGGCGATGGCAACTGTAACGAAGAAACTTGGGTTCATTGTAACAACCAGTACGAGTTACGAGGCACCATTCGTCGTCGCAAAGAGGTTCTCGACACTCGACCATCTTACCAAAGGGCGGTTTGGCTGGAATATCGTCACTTCTTTCAAGGAATCTGCTGCCAAGGCCGTAAGTTAGACTCCGCAAGAAGGTCCTGTTAAAGATCATGCATAATTTTCTTCAGGTCGGGGTCTCATATGTCGAACATGATGAGAGATATGCCGCTGCTGATGAATACTTGGAGTTGCTCTACAAGTAAGGTCATATGAGTATACACGAAGGTCCTAGGCTAAGAGGTCAGAATATGGGAAGGCTCGTGGGCAGGCGATGCTCTCAAGAAAGATGCAACGAACAACATCTACGCCGATCCCAGTCGTATCCGTTGGATCAAGCATCATACGGCAAGGTTCAATGTGGATGCTCCTCACATCCTGCATCCTTCACCTCAAAGAACTCCATTTCTGCTTCAAGCAGGGACATCATCGTAAGTACGAACCATACAATTCACACGCCTACTTTCGGCTGAACCTTCACAGCGCTGGCATAGCTTTCGCTGCCAAACACGCAGAGGGTATCATGATATCGGGGCTTTCACCTCACATCTTGGCGCCTCGCGTAGCAGCCATTCGTCAGCAAGCAGCGGAAGCTGGCCGTGACCCTGGTAGTGTCAAGATTTTCGCCGTCATTACACCAGTCATTGCGAGAACAGACGAAGAAGCCACTGCAAAATACCGCAAAGCCTTGGAATTTGCGAACTTCGAAGCTGGTCTTGCATTCTTTTCAGGTAATGCTGGAATAGACCTCGCCAAATACGATTTAGACGCAGAAATAAGACCAGATGATGCTACCATTGATGGGCGGGTACACTCCATGGTCAGCAGTCTGAAATACCGTGGCGATGACGTTCCAGCTTGGACGCCTCGAAATATTGGAAAAGTCATGGCCATCGGCGGGAACGGGCCTGTGCCAGTTGGGTCGGCAGCTCGTGTTGCAGATTTCCTTGAGGAGTGGGTGAAGATTGCAGATTTAGATGGGTTCAACGTTGGATATGTCACAACCCCTGGGAGTTTCGAAGATGTGGTAGATTTGCTAGTGCCTGAGCTTCGCCGAAGAGGGCTATACGGGTACGACGGACTATCGGGAGATGAAATCACTTTGCGTGAGAGGATGTATGGTGTTGGCCAGAAACATCTCCGCCACGACCACATTGGAGATCAATACAAGTACAAGTAGGGCCATAATTCGTATGAAAGAGGGGAACGAGGTGGTCTCTGAGACTTGCTAGACATCATCCCTGAAGAGTGCACAAGAACCAGGATTTGGCTCCATTCAATCAACCCCCACTTGCCATGTTATGTTGTCATTCGTTCTAAAGTTGCATCAGTTCTGAGGACTCGGTAACAGGCCGATAATGTGCTCTGTCGGCCTCGCTCTGACCAGCAGGGACACAAAGGGTTTTTGATGCCCCTACCATGTCGGTACAAAAGTAAGTAGCATTGCGAATTACTTCTGATTACATCCGCGACCATCCACCTAACGACCTGCGACTGCCATGGACTCCAAAAATGCATCAAAAAGAGATACTGGTAAGGATCTTGGGCCTCAAGAGCCCTCGTCATCAAGATGGGATCTCCTAAGCGGTGTCATATGGGATGGTCCTCGAACGAAAGAAGAACATCGCCTTGTGCAACGCCTCGACTTCTTCGTATTGTAAAGAATCCCATGTTTTGAATATGTGCTCAGAGCTGCGCTGACCATGCTCACGACAGAAGCTGGGCTACTTTTGGATATTTCGTCAGGCTACTCGACTCAAGCAACATCAGTAAGGGCAACTCTTGGCACTAAGACACTGAAACAATGTGTGAAGTTCTTACCAAAAATAGCAAATGCGTATGTCAGCGGTATGAAGGAAGACCTCGACTTTCAAGGCAACGAGTACAACCTTTTACAAACTTTCTTTACTTGCGGGTATCTGGTCGGTCAAATTCCTTCACAGTTCTTGCTCACTCGCTGTAGGTTCTTGGAATGCAATCAGTTCTTATATACAGCCCAAAAGCTTAACATCTTCCAGTTCAGCCCTCAATCTACCTACCCGTGGCGGAGCTTCTCTGGACCATTGTCACATTTTGTTTTGCCGCTGTCAAGGACGTTCGTCATGTCTTAGCAATGAGATTCCTGCTAGGATTCCTTGAAAGTCCCTTTGCCGTCGGCGTTCTGACCATCATGGGAAGCTGGTACACGCCTCGAGGTAAGAGCATCCATTGTGCGAAGACTCACTTCTTTGTCCTTACCTCGCCCCTTAGAACTCTCCAAGCGGATTTCAATCTTTTATTCGGCCAGCTATGCTGCTAGCATGTTCAGCGGATACCTCCAAGCCGCAATCTATCGAGGTCTCAATGGAGCCGGCGGCCTCCCAGGTTGGCGGTGGCTTTTCATTTTCTGTGGCATAATCTCGATCTGGGCTCCCATCTGGGGATTTTTCGCCGTCCCTGATAACCCTCATATCACAAGGGCTCGCTGGATGCGTCCGAGTGAGCAGGCAAAGCATATCGCGAGGATGGAAGCCATCGATCGGCGCAAACCCGAGCCTTTGACAAAAGCCAGGGTCTTGGGTATTTTCACGAACTGGCCCATTTACGTCTTCAGCTTCGCATTGATGTGAGTTCTCCGTACTTCTCATGATACCCAGTATGGAACAGTCTGACATAACTCGCAGTTGCCATTGCGTTGTCACACAACCCCTTAACTACTTCTCTGTTTGGCTGAAGTCCTTGAACCGCTTTACGGTCTATCAGATCAACCTCTTTCCTACCGCAGCGCAAGCCGTCGGTCTCGTGACCACTCTGCTATATGCTTGGCTCTCTGATGGGTTGGGGAAGAGGTGGCAGGTTTTACTGATTCCAGCTGTTAGTACATGAAACATCGGCATCCCGATCTCGCTGACAAGACGCAGACCATCAACCTTATCGGCATGATCATGGTTGCAGTTGAATCAAGCTACGCGTTGACCTTTGTCGGATATGTTATCAACGCCGCTTCGTGGGGCTTTTGGCCGGTCCTTTACGTGAGCCACTCTTTCTGCAGCTTTCCTGCCTCTCTAATACTGATGTCGTCTACCTTAGGCCTGGGCAATTGAGATCATGCACAAGAACATGGAGGAGCGTGCGATCGTTATTGGGGTTGCACAGACCCTAGGCCAAGCTTTCATTGCATGGGTTCCAGGTTTGCAACTATCTTGCCCTCAATATCTTGAAAAGACGCTAATTGTTGCAGTTGTGATCCTCGATGTGGGTAAATATGCACCGTCCTTCCATATGGGGTTCTCCGTCATGTGTGGAGTGAGCGTTTTGGAGCTTTCGAGTATCTTCATAATCAGACACTTTGAGAAGCGAGAAAAGGCGAAGAACGAACAGTCCATTGTTAGCAACTAATAACCATTCCTCTCGCTTCAGATTCAACATTTCCGGTGTTGGTATATGATTGGAGATCTCGTGGTCTAAGTATGCAAATGCTCGTACAGATATGTAGACGGTCACCTATGATTTGTAGTGAGAAAGCCTGTGGATGTGACTGTTAGTCTTTGTCCGTGAGGTACCATCAATATCCAACACTGAGAAGTACTTACTCAATCAAGTTTCCGTCGGGATCTCTCACGTAAACGCTCTGGATGGGGCCCTGTGCTCCCGTTCTCGCAACCACCTTCTCTCCCTCGAGAACCTGAACTCCGTCCCCTTGGAAGCCCTTGATCAGTTCCTCAAGATTGGTGCCATCCTCCACCAAGAAACAGAGGTCGGCCGTGCCTGGCAGTGCCGTCTTGGCTTTTGGCTCAAACTCCTTGCCCTGCTGATGCAGATTGATCTTGTGCGTGCCGAACTTCAGTGCGTGCCTCTGGACGGATGGATCTAACGGCGACGTGAATGTTTCCGCCTTCATCCCGAGGTACTTGGTGTACCATTGGACTGTCTTTGGGACGCTGGCGCAGGTAAGAACGAGGTGATCCAGCGTCTTGACGACGGCTCTGGCTCCGGACATGGTGATAGAACGGGGCACAAAGGTACGATGGAAACCTAGAGCCTTTGCGGATTGCAAATTTGATTAGCGTGACAGGTCGAGTCTTGGCAATGGTGGAGGTTTTGGCCTGGCTTGGGGTCTCTGCAAATGTTTTGCGCGAGGTTTAAAATGAAGAAGAAAAGGAATGGGGATTTGGAGAGCGGCAAGGACGTCATTAGTGCATTGCGAGGGCGGACCGTGCCGAGTTTCCGAAGCGTTCGGCTTGCGGATCCGGCGCCGAGTTTAGATTTGCCGGGACCCCACATCCGAGGCCCGCCGTTTCTAGTTCGGAATGAGATCCAGATCTTCCAAGCTACTTCGTGATCAAGGTCGGAGATTGATGAGATTTTCTTTTCGACAGCATGTGACTGCTTTTCTTGCTACTGTTGATTTCTACTAGTACACCATGAGGAAGATCTTGAGCGTACATCAATAGGCCAGGTGAAGACTGGCTGTAACCAGCCATTTTGGAAATGTGATAGACTGGTAGAGCCCTGAAGACACAACACTTTCCCAGGATATGATGTACAAAAACTACACTCATCATAAATTCGTCAATGATATGTTTGGTTGGGTATCGAGGTAATGCGCAAGATCAACTTCATTCCCGGTGCAATTCTGCCTTGAAAAGCCACATCAACTTCAGTCTCTAATACACCTTGGTGAATCTCTAAGGTATGTTACTTTCAGCCTTAATCTAGTGCTGACGCTGTTTATTTGTAGCCTCTGCTGGCGGATGATACGAATGAGAGGTGTGTTGACAGTGATCACTCACTGGCGATGGACATTTGCGATACGCAACACGAAGACGAAGCCAGAGGAGGATTCACTCCTCGCAATCCCACAATAGAATTGCCCATCCAGAAACTTTGAATCCAGCGTGAGGCAAAGTAAAATGCAGAGCTAGTCGAACACGAGCGCCCGTCATCTCGAGGCTAAGGCACATCGGCGTCAGGGGCAACCCACAAACGAAAGACCCCTGGACTTTAAGACAGTCATATGAAGTAACCATATTTGACGACGGCCTCATGTAGTTGTCTGATCATCCTCAGTATTTCATTGGCTGTCTTGAGTCTGCTTGCGCAGGTGGCTGAGGCGGAGTGGGTGTACATGGTCCGAGATTTGTGCCACGACGCCCGCATATGTGGGCTAATGAGTAGGGTGATATGGGCAAATGACAGTGTTATTGTTTGCATTCATCGTGGCTGCAAAGGCAGCGAGTGACGGATTTTGAAGCCCAAAGACGATCGAAATGGCTCTATAGACGCATGATATCAGGTGAAATCTCAACGCACGACGCTGGATCGGTGATCGCAAGATCGATAGATATCGAGATGCAATCTGGTCCCCATTGTAGCGGCCACGTACAATATGGTATCCTTTGTCTAATCGTTCTTGATGTGTAAATTAAATTCTGTAGGGCGGGAAGAGGAATTCAGGAAGCATCACTTGAAACTGCCAATTGGAGGGAAATTCAGGCTCACACGACAACGACGTTGCAAGCCACTCGCCATAGCCAAATTAAAACAACGTTAGCTACCGGCAGCTGAAAAACAAGCTTAAATCTGATTCGGCAGCACGACACCATGCTCACAGCCTGCCGCAACAATGCATAACCGACAGGAGCTAGGTCCTGGCTGCAGTGCTAGCAGCGGATTGACAGGCAGACAGACTCCTATGAACAAACCCGGTGTCTGGGGTTTTGATGATCTTCTTGATCGTGTTCCTCGAATCAGCCTAGCCACTCAGCTTGACAACTTCAAAAGATCGAGCTTATCGACGTGCGCGGGGTAACTCCTCCCCGAGCTTACCTGCAGCCACAAGAAAGCTGAGCTCTCAAAATAAGCAATTGCTTAACCCCAGACCCTGGTTCCCGACGCCACCATCACCTCCTCTAACTTTGCTCAACGGCCACTTGAGCAAGGACGCTGACATCGCGGGCTAGTTTAGCTGCAGGAACAGAAAGATGCAGTTTGCTGTATGACACTGCGGTGATGCCTTCAATTGGACGCCACCACGTAATTGCTGGCTGCTCATTTCCGTTCAGTGTGGCAGCTGAAATGTTGCATCTCCGAGGAGGAGTAGCACAGGGCCCAATATCACAGCCTTACGTTGTGTGCCGTGTACTTAAGCATGCGATTTCCGAGAGAAAGTAGAAGGGCGATGCTGGGCCATCTCGGACATCAAGCAGCTCAACGTTCACCAGCAACCCTTCACTCTCGTTTCAACACACTCGCTTTCATAACCAACATGTTCCAGCTCAAGAAACTTCTTGTTCTGGCTCTCCCAGCCTTGGCTCTCGCCGAAGAGGCCTTCTCTCCTCTCAAGCGCCAGATTGTAGAGATCCCGTGCAGCGAGTCTGGCCGGAAAGACTGCGGCGATGGCTGCATTCCCTTGACCTACACTTGCTGCCCAGACCAGCAGGGCGGTTGCCCCTTGACGTCCACGTGCTGGCTCGGTAACAACGGCCAGTATGCGTGCTGTCCGATCGGCAAGCAATGTGTCGGTCCGGGCGGTGTCAACACGGAACCCGGCTCGACGGTGACGTCTACCCTCTTCTTCACGGAGTCGATTCCGGACGAGAAGACTTCCACGTCCTTCTTCGCGTCGACCTCAACCGCGACTTTCACCCTCACTTCCGAAATCGGGAGCACCTCAGCAGAGACTTCTCTTGTGCCTAAACCGACCACTTCTCTTCCGGCACCTCCGGTTGTTTCCAACACGCCGACGACGACTGCTACACTGCCGACCATCACCGCGAATAGTACCACGGCCCGGTCGCCCCCGGTCACGGTGAACGCAGCGAACACCCACGGTGGCTCGATCCTTCAGGCAATGGCTGCTGGTGCCGTAGCCTTGCTTGCTCTTTGAAACTTGTGTATACCGAGATGAAAATGTGTTCGATGTTCAGATCAACGGAAATGCTGTTGTCGAGGTGTAATAGTTGTCTGAAGAAAAGGGCGGGCGAATGTGGGTAAAGAAAGAGAGAGGATCGATAGCTTTTGCAACCAAAACGTAATGGAAATGAAAATTGTCAGGTTGGACCTCGTCTCCCCAACTTTCCGTACCACCAAGGGATCCGCCACCATTATGGTTTGGCCGAGATGAGTCTCGAGCTTGCCTTCAGAATCCGGGGCTCCGGACCCAGACTTGCAAAGTGGCGTGCTTTCTCGTGGGGGATGTGTGATTAAAGGGCGCGCACAAGGCGTAACGGACATGTGGAAGCCTGGACGGGGTTCGCCCCGTCGTTATCGTGTGTGTGATGCAGATTTGACACCGGGACTAAAGCGTTTGAGTCAAACATGCTCATAGAGATATTTCGTATCTCTGAGCGGCCAAGAACGACGATGTTGAGCCACCGCGTAGCTAGCAAAACTTATAAGTCGGGATCGGGATCGGGATGGGTCGCCGACTAAGCACTAGTCAAAGGAGCTGGCGTCGGATCAGTTTTCCGTTTCTCTTGGCCGGCGAGCTGGATGCGGGGGAAACGGCAACTTTGAACCTCCACCGGTCCGCATCAAGGGTACCAAACAACGGGGACAGGTAGACTTGGAGATGGACGGTCTCAATTACCCTTTCCAGCTCCCCGGTCAAGGCTGATAAGCTTTGTAGGTCCCTTCTGAAGAAATGACAAAGTTGAATCATGTTCGCGAACGCCGACAGCATGTTTCTTGCAGTAGGATTCGTCTCGTATCAACCCCGGCGGCACAGAAGTCAGCCTTCCGGGGACATTGTCTTCAAACTCGGGCTTATGAAAAGTGGGTTTCTCAATTATTGCGTGCTGGTCAGGCGATCCTTATCGAAGGCGCGGTTCGGCACAAGGGAGCTCCAGGAACGCGACAGACTTAGACGCGATGTCTCCGTACTACTACTTTGCGGTTCAGGTATTTGGTGAAGGTCAACATCGGTGTTTAGAAATGTCGTTCGGAGCAATTTTCCCAACATCCAATCAGACATCTGACAGGCTTCCCCAGGACCGAGAGGCCAGGTCGAGGATGGTGACACACTGCAACTAGGAATTTGCGCGATTTGATGGGAATTGGCGAGTGCTTGTGCTGCCCAACTTTAAGGGACTCTGGAGAAAAAGATGAAAAGTTTACGTGATAGTTTGGTACGAGGGCGGGTACCATCGGTGTTTACCCCGTCGTGGAGTCACTGGAAGTGAAGGAATCTGAGATGCAGCCGCGCACAGGGAGCCACGTGATATGGGGCCTCTTGCCCAAGTATGTACCCCAGGCAAGGTAGTCTTAGGTAAGCTGCGGCTTGGATGTTTGCAGTTGTTCCGGGAGGTACGTACTGCTGACTCCAATTCCCGTCTCTGCCTGAGCCTCCAATTTGGACCGCAGATTTTCTCGGTGACAACTGCAACCACTTTAACCAC